GCAACATTTGTTCGCGTAGACTCTTTGAGTCTCTTTCTATTCATGTTTAACAGCCCAACTTTATCATTTTACTGGGTTGCAAACCACCACCAAAATGTAATCCCTTACTAAATGCACCACAAAATGTCAGTTTTGGGCGATTCAATGGGACAGCTTAGCCTAGGGATCACATTGACTGTTGTGACTAAATGCTAGATTTAGAAAGCTGTGAGGGAGATGGGAACTATTGTGCATTCTGCACTGTAACTTACAAAAGTTGCATTTCCTGGAAAAAATAATAACATGTAGAAATATTGCCCCTTTGTTCCATTAAATAAATTATCCAACTGGACGCGAGTTTCATGAATATCTGGCAACCGATTGATACATATTGAATTTTGACCTTGTAATTATCAAAATCAATGAAACTGTTCCATACGGAAAATAAACTTTTCTTTGATGAAACTTTCTGGTGGTCTAGATCTACGTTTAGATTATGCTGGTTTGTTTGTTTGTTGGGCTGTTTATCTATTTGTTTGTTAATTATGCCTTTGACAAAAAGATCTGGCCAGGATCAAAGCATTAGGTCCTGTAAGTTTTTTATTTGTTTCTTTGCTTCTTCTTGTGTTTTTTTTAATTTGTTTATTTGCTTCTTGTTGTGTTTTTTTCAAGGAAAGTTGAACCAAATCAGTGACATCAATGCTGCAATAGCCTCATCAAGACTCAAAAAAAAAATAGAAACTGAATCACAAGCCAGCCCAAAAGCTCAACGAACATGTGAAATATGTCCGGATCGATACATTCATGTTTGTCTGGCTGATCACTTGCCTGGCACGCCACTGAGCCACATGCTTTCACTAATGCAATCAGTGACAGCCACACTTATGTAATTATTGCATTACAAACCACAGGGCTGTAATCCTGTCACTCAAAAAGGGCCAGTCCTCCCTCCGAGCATAGCTGATTCAAAGACTGCTCAGCTAGAACTTAGAAGGTGCTTTTCTTTCCTGGACCGTTCAGATTTCAGTAGAGTACAGAGCTTTTCACACTATCATCTCGCCTACCTGTGTTGGAATCAACACTGGTTAGGTCCATCGCGAGTGAAACCGGGTCCCTTGGACACAGGTAGGCGAGTTATAATGTACACACTAACACCATGTGTACATGGGTCGGCAGTATAGTTTGAATTGAATCTACAAGGGTACAAAAGCCTCTCAAACCTGGGCCCAGTTTTATGGTTTTGCTTAAACCTTTAGCAAAAAATTGTTACTTACGGTAGCAGAACATTTCCTGCTTACGGTAAGCGTATTTCAAGGGTTAGTGATGAATTTTGGCTTATGCACAAGCGTACAGATTCTTGCTAGTGGAAAAGGCTCCAAAATCTCTGTGCTAGACCCAGATTAGTGTGAAGGCCCTTATATAAGACTCTAGTGAGAGATGGAGGGGGGGGGGCAGGAGAAGTTGATTGTCTTCATGAATCACAAAGTTGAAAAACTTTGGTCAGGTGGTAATCTCATCTCTCTGATTCACAAACTGAAGACAAAAAAATTCCCAAACCCTGCTGCTGAAACATCAAGGCCTTCAACGGGTTAATTGACAGGCAAATAATTTACTTTCGGGGGCCCAATCTGTCTTCCTGCAGAGGGATGCTAGCTGACAGATCTACGCATTACGCCTTGCACACGAGCTCCCACACTCTGTCTGCTTCAACTGGATCCTAACCAGCTGTGAAGTTTGTTGGGGCGCAAAGAGAAACGCGTTTTACGGTAGTTTCATTTGTGAGTCATGATCGGAGGGCCAGGGGGACCTGGCTGTCGTGTCTGCTGGCTATGTGTGGTGCCTTGACTCCTCGGGCAATGGTACTACAACGTCCTTCTTCCAGCATGCCTCTCTTTCGATCCAAGTTACCGTAGAACGGATATAGACAACTTTTGGGGGAGTTCGAATCCAACACAGGCAAATGCATGGATTAAATTATCAAGTCCCTGCCTGATTCAGTTCATTCCAAGCATAGTGCACCTTACAATAGACAGCCATACAAAGGTAAAGCAAAAAACTACATCATAAGCTCCGCATGTGCAAACTTGTATGGCAAGGTTATTTTTTCCCAAGCCAGACTTTTTAAGAAACCTTGCATAAATGTTCATTCATGGTGACTGAATGTACTTCTAAATTGAATGGACTAACTCACATTTGAGTTGGGTAGGTAGTCGGCTATTGAAGACATAAGTTTATGCATCACTGAACCAGCCTTATTCTGATGAGTTTTCACAAAACGCTCGCTTTTTCCCCCTTAAAGATTTTTAGACACCCTGCTTCCAAGGAAAAAAAGTGCAATGAAATCCAACAATTTCCATAAATTATCTTTACACATATTGTGTCACTGTTCATATATTAGGATGTTAGAAAAATCAAGCTGAATCAGACGCTTGCTATTAGATCCTGTTAGATCCTCCAAAATATTTTGTTTATCCCCGCAAAAAACTTCGAACAACTGGTGTTTAGTTTCCACAGCTACGGAATAAGTGCTGGATATGTGTGATTTAGCAGGGCTAGGATGCGTGTACACACGTACATGCAGACCCTCATGGTTGGGCTGTAGCCTAATTCCTCAAAACCTACATAAATGCACATAACTCTCAACCACAACAAACCAACTCCACTTCTTCTTCTTTTTTCTCTGGAGGTGCAAGCCCCGGTGACCTGGTACCCAGCCACTTCGCACCAGGGTTAATGATTCTCTCTCACCTCCCCTGTTGACTTTCCTGGGGCTATTTAATTAACACTAGCCCCTCTTCCCTGTTGTGTGAGACACCCCCGGGCTGTGTATACCCTGTTAGGTACCAGCTAGTCTGGCCCCCATTTTACTTTAGAGACGGCTTAAGAGGAAAGCTGGCACCGGAGTCAGTGGTACCAGATGACATACAAGTGTCCGTATATCCCATGTAATCCTGTGGAATGGGCCCCGAGGAATTCTAGGAGTGCTCTCCGAATAAAAATGGGTAAAAAGAAGGAGGAACAACAGTTGAGGAGAAACTACCATTGTTGGGGAAAAAAACACTGCTTGGTCTTTCTTTTTTTCGACGAGAGATATAATCTCTGACTTTAAAACCTCAAGGTCCAATTTTGTGGAACTGCTAATCAAAGTATTGCTTACATTTTTTTTTTTAGTGTCTCACTGGAAACTGATGATGTCTGATGTCTGGCATTGATGCTTTGAGGGTCTTCCTTGTGGAAGCCTTTGGAAAGTCAGTCAGGTAGATTCTCAAATGATAAGTCAAAACTTGCAAGAGTTCTACAATAATATATATCACATCTCCTCTGACTGTTTGGCAAGATAATGCAGTGACAAAATTTAAGTACAATTCAAACGAAATCTGAACTGTTCTGTTGCTTATCACAAACATGTATCAAGTACACAGATTAAATGTTAAAAAACTTGTAAATTTTGGCTTCCAAGTAAAACAAATTCAGTAGAATTCCACATGTCAAATTCCATGATTTAATCAATATAATCACAATCACACAATTTGTTTGCCTTGAACCACAGATCATGCGACTTGGGTCTACCAATCTACTCTTTATTTTCAGCTTTACTCTGGCTTTTTGTAACATGTACAGTTTCTGTCCATGAATTGTATGGGTTTTACCACTTCATCACTTTTTAACAGTGGCATTAAATTTTCATAATACTCTATTCATTTGTAGCATGTCAATAACAATGACAACTTGAAAACACCTTGTTACCCAGTAAAAGCAACCATCATGTAACATATTTTTTCCACCAGAACCACCACATGATTGGCAGTTTATAGCATGACACAATAGCAAGAATTCTACAATACAAAACGAGAAGTAACAAAAATACAGTGCTTCAAAACAGGCTTTCAGTTAGCTGTTTTGAGAAAAAATATCAAAACAGTAACTGTTCTCCTCCGAGTGAAAAACCTTCGCAGCACCCGGTCCAACCCTCGCATGACGACAAAATTGAATTCAGTTCGACTGAGCTCCCACGAAAAATTGAACAAAATTGCGGAAATATGCGAGGCCCATTGAAAGCGGCCAGGATCCTGGCGTCTGAATGGACTGGCTTTGGTGGCCAGCCATGCTTGAACAAATCCAAGGCTTGCCTTTTTTTTATGTGTGTGTGCGGGGCAAACGTAGCGTAATCTTAACATAATAACGCGATGAGACAGTCTGATCACCTGGACGTTGAACTAGCGAGGTTCTGAAAGGGTCTGGGGGAAACATGTCGCAACAAAAGCCGCTCAATCCTACCCAAGTGAGCCATACTTTAATCAATTACACACTCAATTACAGAGGAGATCGCCCATTTTTTTTTTTTTTCTTTTACTCCAGCTTTTTTCTTCTTTTTAGAGGGGGAGGTTTTTTTACGAACCGAAGCTCAGGGAGCTGGGAGACGCGAGCACATGGCCCTTTTGGTGAACCAATTTGCTCCTCGGCTGACCACAAACAATCACCGTCTTTCAGGTGGAGTTGACGGCCATTTTACGGTCTATTGTCAGCCCCCACCTGTGTATACATCAATACCTAAGAATGCCGAGTCCCTCTGGTATCACGCAACCCACTGCCTGCTGCAGGTGCTCGCTGCTACCAGAGAACCCAGAGAGGTCTAGTATGTACGTACACATTGTTACACACTGGTTCTAATCTTGAGATCCTACTTAATACATTGCCAAACCTATAAGGCACAATGTACTAACATTCTTGTTAACGGGGAAGTTTTGATCGCCAGGCACACTTCAAACAATTGAGGAATGCATAAAACCTGCCCTTGAAACACAAAAGACTCCTTTTTTTTTCCTTTTTGTCTTTTTTTTTTTGAAAAATAGACAGTATTTAGTTGACGCTACAGTACAATGCATAGTGCTTTACTTTTATCTGAGAAATCTCAATGAGACACCCGTTTCACAGCACGATATTAGTGACAAAAGGAGGACTCTCAATGATCATTTCAAAGGCGGTTTGTAGTCCTACAGCGCGCCCGTTGGTTTACTTACATTCGCTCCACCGATCGGAGATCTGAGAAGGCCCCACGCTCAATGCTGATGATCTGATTGTTGGTAAGCTGTCTGCATGATTCCAAACAAAAATCAAGAAAGGAAAAAATACATTCATCTAGCAACCAAAAAATTCAGCAATTTCTGTAGCCAGAAGTGTTCAACAAATATTTTTGAATTAATAATTACTAGCATCATTGCCTGCAACTGTGCACAAAGTAGAGTGCCCAAATTAGTCACTTATTTGGAGCCAAAAATTACTTGAGCACAAAGTTCGTGAGTGAAACATTTGTGGGCCAACTCAGACTTTTCTGACCTAAGATTAAGCAACAGAAAACTGGTTGATGCATGTTTTTACGAAGGACTCTATGAATTAAATGAACATGATGGCAGTGCCATATAATCATTGTTTTTGTAACTTGGCAGTTTTGGAATCAAATCAGAATTATGACACAAACTTGTTGAAATCATTTTGGCTTTTTCGAACCCATGAGTCGTGACACTATACTTACAAGACTCGTAATCTCCGGAGATTGTCGAAATCTCCCTTGCGGATCTTTGTGATGTTATTTCCATCCAGATTTCTGCAGAAGAAGATCATAATAAAAGCATGGTATGAATGCGATCAATCATCCAAATTATCATTTGATAAAAAAAAAATGGGCAGAAACAATTCTTCCATAAGGCAACCATTAACATTTTTTGGAGTTTTATATACAGGCACAAAATGCTTTGAATGCATGGGTCTTGGCACAGTATGAAACAAGTCACACGTGTGTAGATGAGATATGCACACTTGGAAGGAATATAGGCATGGGCGTCAATCCTGGGGGGGGGGGGGGACAGGGGGACATGTCCCTCCCCCCCCCCCCACACTTTTTGAAGGGTGGCCTTATGGGGGACACAATATCAAATGTCCCCCAAGATTTTTGAACTCGTGTCCCATTTACAGGGCCCTAGTATTATGTACTTCAATGTATCTTTTGCTTAAAAAATATTGGTTAAAGTGGTCAGAAATTGCCTCAGATAGCACCACAGAGCATTTAGAATCCAAATTTTTGGGGGCCCTTAAGCGGGCCCCGAACCCCACGCCTGTAGCTCAGAATTCTGGCACAATTCTGGTTAAAGCATGGAGAAAATTGGTAAGAAATTGCTTCTGATCACACCACAGAGCAACTAGAATCCAATTTTTTTGGGGCCCGCCCACGCCGTAAGGGCTTCGCGCTCACATCAGTTCTGATCAAGGTATGTCCCCCCCCTCACTTTCGAGAAGTGATTGACGCCCCTGAATACAGGCTTAAGTGTTGGTGCTCTGTGAATTCTACCTCCATGGTGATCTTAGGGCACCCTGATCTATGAACTTGTCATTTACTTAATTGTAAAGTTTTTTAAATTTTTGGTGGATTCACTGAAGAATTTGCCCCTTCCCCTTAATTTGTCATTTTTCCTGGACATGAAGGAGTCAGCTAGGCTTCTGTCCTCAGACTGACTGACTCACTGAGTCACCGAGTATAATGGGTTTTTTTAATGCATCTTGTCCTGGCTGAACAAGGCTAGTAGCCACTCAAGGTACAGGGGTACAAGAGACATAAAGAAGAGTAGGTACTCAGGAAAACTGAAGGTAGGAATTAACATTCCTCTTTAATAAAACAGGACAGATCGTAGGTTGGAGCTCCATGGTTGGAGGGGGGAGGGAGAAACAAGTACCAGTCAAGGAATTCCAAACAACGGCCTAAACCAAGACGCTTGGGCCCAGCTGGACTAGAGACAAGCATCTTGTTTTGGCAAATGAGCAGTTTTCCTTCCAAATCCTACAAGTAGCCAAATTCCTGTGCGGATGAACTGGGAGCTCTTAATACTCCCGAAACCAGACGGAACTTAAAGCAGGCTTAAACACGATTAATCCATGATCTTTGCTTTAATGTTTTCTCCTACTTTTAGCCATGAATATATGAAATGCCGGTAGATTTTGGCTAATCTTGGCTGATCCCGTCGAACATTTGCACGGAAGTTGATACCATGCTTAAGGCCAAGGTAGTAAAACTCAAGACAAGAGCTGAGCTTAGAGTCTTAGACAAACGCAGCCATCTGCCTGTCCAAAAATGTCTATTCTTGGTCGTCCCAAGCTCTATAATCCCAAGGGGAAAGACATAGGGGTATTAAATGTGATCAGAACCCCAGGCAATACGTCTTCGTTGGGGAAATCCACCAAAAGACACCTGGAACCAGATGTTTGCTTCAAAAGCAAGTGCTTTAGCTTAAAATAATTAAAAGATTTGTGAACTATATGGCATTAAAGTTGTCGCTAGAATGATGCATGTCCTCTTAATTTTAAAACAAATTAATTCTGATACAAACATTTATCAAAACTGATATTTAGTGTGACTTTGATGATGACTTCTGGCAAACGTTAGATTATAAAAGAGCAGTATCCATTAAATTTCAAGCCAATTTCAAAATAAGGTGTTTCACGGTAATATGCGCCATCTTGTTCACGGGGCAAAAAGAACACGCGTTGCTAAACGGGGGCGCATTTTGGAATGACCGCATGATGACTTGGAAGCGCCAAAGTTTTTCACTGATGATGTGTACACAGCGACGCGTGTAAAATTGCCCCGCGGGCAAGATGCCGCATATTACCGTCAAACACCTTATTAAGTCCCGAGGCGAGTCACAAGCAAGACGAGATTGACAAGGAATTTCCTTGACACAATTCATGTGAATAGCTTGTGACCTGACTCGAGACTGGATGACTTGTGATTGACAGTGATGGCTTGTGATGGCTTGTGATGGCTTGTGATGGCTTGTGATGGCTTGTGATAGCTTGTACTGGCTTGTGATAGCTTGTAATGGCTTGCGATGGCTTGTGATGGCTTGTAATGGCTTGCAATGGCTTGAGTTGGCTTGTAATGGCTTGCACTGGCCTGTGATGGCTTGTATTGCGATGGCTTGTGATGGCTTGTAATGGCTTGTGATGGCTTGTGATGGCTTGTAAAGGCTTGCAATGGCTTGTGATGGCTTGGAATGGCTTGCGATGGCTTGTGATGGTTTGTAATGGCTTGTATTGCGATGGCTTGTGATGGCTTGTAATGGCTTGCGATGGCTTGTGATGGCTTGTGATGGCTTGTAATGGCTTGTAATGGCTTGTGATGGTTTGTAATGGCTTACAATGGCTTTTGATGGCTTGTAATGGCTTGCCATGGCTTGTGATGGCTTGTAATGGCTTGCGATGGCTTGCGATGGCTTGTCATGCCTGTAACTATAACTAGTTAAAGCAAGTAAACAGCACAGATGCTGTGCAGTAACCTTTTTTGGCATTTCTAGCACTGCCCACATGTGGCACAACACCAATATTTTTAAACACGTGATGACACAATCACCAAGGGAATTTCTTATCTTTCAAATGTCATTCGTAAGTATCTGTCATCAGGCACATTCATTTCCTTTTCCTTGCACTCCACCTCTCTCATCTCTAGCTACTCCCAAAAATGAGCAGTCCGATGGATTTTTTTCTCTTCAGAGATTACGCACGTCACAATCAATGTCAAGGTCTTTAGTATTTGTCCTTCACCGTTTCAACTGTCATTATTCACAGAAAAACGATCAAATTCCACTAGGGTCTACTTTGCTCAGTGCTCACACTGCATGTTGGACTGAATTTGAAATCAGTCCTTGAACAGTTTGAAAAAACCTGGGTGATAAGTGGTTGGTAGTCGAACATACCATATCGCGACATGTCACTCAAGGCAATATTGCTGGGAGATTAAACCTTCATCCATGATGATGGTGGTCGAACTGAAACAAGATCTTGTCAGTTTTGATCAAGAAAAACATCTTACCATCACCATGATCACGAGCATCCAATGTTGCTTTCACATTGACAGAACTCCCATTAACGGGCACTTCACGGCCACCTTCCAAATAACAACTCATTGCTGGTTTTCGGTTGACAAATTAATTATTTTCAAAAGGTTTTTGATTGTGCTTCTTCGCCACAAATTTAAATCTCTTTCTGAAATTTCAGTGAGCTGGTGTCCAATCGAGCATGTACATATAAGTAAGGCGCGCGTAAGAAGTTGGAACGCCGGGTACCATGGTAATCCACAAAAGGGTATTCCCCTTTTCTTTTACTTTTAAAATCGACGCTATGATCATGGGAAAGTGCAAATGTGAAAGCGGCGGTCACATTTTCAATTCAGTCATTTCAGTGTAAATTTGATTTTAAGTCAAATCTAATTATCTACATGATCCCTTATGTAACTTTGAATATAATTTCGAAAATGGCAATTAAAAATGTCTGTAACTATTTTTATATTTTAATTCTTCAAAATTGACATGTGGTTAAATAAAAAAAGGGCAAAAGGTCTAAGGTCAAGATGACTCTAAGTGCTGAAAAAAAAGATGAAGCTTTTTTTTCTCTGGATTTGAAGCTGGTCGTATAATTATTATACACCTTAATGCAGCCGCCATTTGGACGTTGGCATTGTCTTACCAATAATATCTAGTCTGAGAAAGCAAGTGTAACTTCATCAAAAAAAGTTCTGTAATTTTAGGCGTTGTCCCCAGACTTTTCTTAAGGAGACGATTATCAACTCTGTGGCCTCATCACATAAATGGAGTTATTAGACGAAATCGATCACCCACTGCGGTCTCTTTGACTGGGCTTGCGTGTGAGGTGATACCGATATAGCTGGGTCCGCGTCCGTGGGTCCGAGCAAAATTTGGCCATCACTATCTCAGTTAACGCATGGACCAATGGTCTGTGGTTAACGGGACCAGGAACCGCTGCATTGACTCCTCAATCGATGAGGAATGTTTTAATAGCCCACCGACGAAGCCGACAGACACTCTGATTAAGTTGAACAAAAACCAAAGAGAAAGTGATAGAACAGACGCGATCTCACCGCCAATACGCCCCAAGAAAAAGCCGTGTATGAAACGCTGCCTTGTAGGGCAACGGCTTCGTCTATCGCCAGCATGTGCCCACGTATGCAACCAGCAAAGACGTAGACATAGCTTCAGACAGGAGACTCGGACGCGGGTAAACTTTCAACATCGCGCATATCGCTTTGCGACTTCGAGAAAAAAAAATCGGTAGTCCTTGACGGCAAGCGTTGGTCAAGAATGGCCAAATCTTGTAAATGTTTGATCGGGTATGAAGCAGAACAAAAGCAGGCCGGGGAAATGTCGCTTTAGTGGGACAAAGAACGTGTCAGTGTTTTTCTTCTGCCGCACAATGCCGAGGAATCTAGCTAATGTTGCGGTAAATACAAGCAGTTTGCCCGCGCTATCGAGACCGCTAACATAAATTATGGAGGTGTATTCACGTCACGGAGGTCTGTACCATCACTGATTCCGTTTTGGATTCAACACATCGCCCAAGCTTCATTCAAAAATGCGCCCACTAAAAAGAACTCAATCCCCTGAGTGCTTTTTCCCAAAGCTCCTATAAATTTCCTGTTTCTAATTTTTACAGAGCTTGAAAAAAGTCACACCCTTAGGGACCTAATAGGCTTCACGTACATAGTGTAGCCCTTTTAACATGTTTCTTCCGCATTAAAAGTTGCACTCCGTGGTTGAAAAGCAAGTTCCTTGCATCATGCTTGCCAAGAGTCTACCTGCTTTCTTGTTAATGCCATTCAAGTAACTTGTTGACCTTGCATCATGCTAAGGCAGTCTCCATACTGTTTCGACAAACTGTCACGAAATAACATAGAAAATCTGTTGTTGAGTGTTGGGTTGACAAGAGGGGATATAAAAGGCGACGCCCTTGAACTTGGAGAGGATGCCGATCCCCAATTAGCGAAGGAAAAGGAGAAGATGAAGCTCAATGACTCGACCGTCAAAACTCACAAACAGAGAAGGAAGGGGAAGAACCGAACAACAGGCATCGAGGAACGTCATAACGCACCACTGTGCGTGCATAGAAAATCTTATTTTGGAATTTGCTGAAATTTTGAACATCGCTTGGCCAAGTGTATTTTATAGATTCCTGACTAAAATATTGGCCCAAAAAAATGGAAAAAGTCCAAGATGGTATATCTTTAATACAAGTTAAATAAAGGCAAACCATTTTGGAATTTGGCAGTACTGTTTGAATGTGGTATCGCATTGTAAAAGATTGATTGGTATGCCATGCTGGATAATTGACAAGATTGATTGTCAACGAAACTTTAGAGTAGAGTGCTGAGAAGAGTAAACTATATTGAACAGGTTGAAGCATCTTACTACTATTCTTTGGCACCCTTGCTCAACTGGGGCGCTAGAACTCTTTTTTTTAACTAGTCTTTGGTCGGTCGCTAGTCATGATGTTGTATGAAAGACCAAAGACAAAACTGGAAAAAAAGGAGTTCTAGCGCCCCAGTTACTTGGTCAATGTCCATGGAGGTAGCCATGGAGCTATAAAACACAAAAACACAGCAAACGGCCATGAGTGAAAACAAACGCAACGAAAAATACAGAGACAACTTCGACGAGTACTGGACGTCAATCTTCTGATTTTAATACTCACAATCGCTCCGTGTTGGAGGGTATGTTGACCGGTACGTACTGCAAACCCCGATTGAGGCAATCTACAGTCCCCCGGTAACAGCTGCATTCCACTGGGCATACTCTCCCCCTCCTCCTGCCAGCATCGCAAAAATCCACCGCTAGTCCCAACAAGCAAAGACCAACAAAAAGGTATCTCATCCTAGATAGATCCATGGTTATACGGTTCATCCGAAAGACGACACTCAAACGGTTAAACAAAATTCCAATACCTTAACCTCTTATTCCGCTGGCAGTACGGATGGATATTGCTTCAATCGTTGAGAGCGTAGAAAAAAATCCAAGGTTTTTTTTAATTTTTCCTCCTGAAACTGTAGAATTATAGGCACCTTCCTTTCAAGCGGCACGTTCCGCAAACGGTGCTGGGATTACCGAATTCCAAGAGGCAAGTTAGCGGGCTACTGGAGGCATTGGACCGCCTACGCCGATAGCACGGGAGCTGCAGTGTATCCCAAGCTTCCCGTGAATGACGAACCAATAATGATGTCAAGTTTGAATATAATTAGATATGCCAAACTTTTTTCCGCACTTTCTTCTCAAAAGCAAAGCTACCACCGGGGTTCCTTATGACGTCCTCCTCCGTATTCACCTGTTAACAGCATCCATATCAACACTGAAGACAAGAAGAAGATCCTTACAAGAGAATACAATACTCCCGTCAAAAATTCAATAATAATCCTCGGGGAAAAATATCCGACACAACACACAGCCTTCCGTCCGCGTGCGACCGAGCGCTACACTACAAATGAACCCCGTGCAAACTTGACGGGAGTCACCGGTGCGCGTAGCGGGTGCTGATGACGTCCCACTAGGTTGTATACACAAGGCCCCGTGCCTACCGCACATGAGCAGGGATATGCAGCGCTGGTCACGCACAGCTTTTGGGGGAGAACTCGAGGACCAAATAAACCGCCCCCTTAGGTCACCGTGGGACGTCACTCAATGGATTATCACAATGGGACGCATTGGATTATGAGGACCACATCCCCATTAAAAGGAGCAACCGCATTATAATTTAAAATCAACTGTATTTTTTTTCTAAATCTTCAACCAAAGTCTTTATAGAACTAAAATAATCTTGGGAATTTTTTTTCTTCAAAAAGCGGTATTTTGTTCTTCAGTGTAAAGTTTGCTTAAAATGTGTGTACGGAAACGGGAAAATTAAACGTAGGCCTACTCTCGCGGTGAAATACAAAGGGAATTATAAACTTACTCAAGATCCTTCTTCGTAAGTATTCACGTAAGTTGGCTGCACCACCTTGAGTAAAAAGTCAGAATTCTCATTTATAGGTTTTACTTATATTTCCAGCATAATGTCAGTGTAACATGTCGGAGGTTTTTGACTTGCCCAGGTAAATGATGAAAAATTCAAATTTATATTTCGATACTCATTTCAGATGTTGCCGTCATGTGCCATTTGAGAAGATGACAAGTACCCAACAAGTCGCGGTTGGAAACAGTGAGCTTGCCGATAATTTCATTGATAAATGTTTTGACAGGAAACGGATGGCGGGCCATGGGTGTCACTCGGGCCGGTGGTGCCCGGGTGACAGGGCTGGTCGCATGCAATTTGTTGGAGTTCGGTGAGTTCAGTCTCGAGCGGAAGGCACTTGATGCTCGCAAAATAAACCCCATTCATCGTTTGTTTTATGGCGGGAAGCGAGGCCCAGACTTTTATTGGAGAAATGTCCTTTAGAGAACCAAAGTTAATTGGTATCAAAAGCGAAGGAAGTTGGTACAATTTGGAGAAAAATGGACGGGCGTACGGTGGTATATCAGGGGGTGGGGGAACTGGGGTTCGTGACCGTTGAGCTAATCTTGGGGAGAACTGATGATGCTTGGTCGGCATGTTTTGCCCAAAAGATAGGAATCGGGAGACTTGACGAAGCACAGGCCTCAGACTTGTGGGAGCATAGGGTCATCGTGCCCCCTCCCTCATTACTAAAGACTGACTCGTTAATTCTGGTTAGCTTGTGGTTGATTAGTCCGTAACTAAAGATAAAACAACCAAGAGACCACGACTGGCCACAACGCAGCTAGAACATGTCAATCAAGTTTCTTTATCACATATCATCATGACGTACACACTGGCGAAACCAAGAGGCCGGATGTTCCTCCTATATGCTAATCGAACGCGTGCTTTATTGAATAACCTGAACGTTCAATAACATACCGTATCTCAGTATCCGGTCCTAAATTTCAATCACCGTCAGATTCGCAACTTGACATGTAGTTGCGGTACTCAACCAACAAAATCCCAACCCTGTCTGTTTGCATTTAACTTCGACACGAAGAGAAAGCAACCACCACTGAATACCTCAGGAACGTGGCATTTCGACCACCGATGCAAAACTGACAAGAATTGACAGTTTACTTTCTCGTGGTAGGCTATGATGGTGGCAGTATGCTACCAACTTGTAAATCACCACTTCTCCCACGAACCAATATTGACTTGCTGTGCTGTGCACACACTGTGAATTCTATTGAGGAAGCATGAACGCCACAAATTCAGTTGAACCTATCTGGGTCTCACTGGCTAACTCTCATATACCAACTTTTTGTTCGACCCACTTTCTTCCGGAGATGAGAAATCCGCATCGTATAGCCGCAAGTGAAAGCCACCTCGTATTTGAAGATCTGATCTCGTTTTTGTCTGATGGAAGAATGCCCCCGTCCCGACATAGCGAGACTGCGGCGGGGCCCGGTCATGCATTGTTCCCCATCCAGAATTAAGCGTCCAGAACCCTGACGCCAGTTGGCAAACGGATATGGTGTCGGCTGTGAGTGCGGACTCCGGAAGACGGGGCGAGATGTGACAGACACAGCGGGATTGACAGTGGACTGTTGCCGAGAGGAGCCCGGCAAAAGTAGCCGTTCATCCATCTGGCATAGCTAAGAGCTAACAGAGCATACATAAAAGACACTTAGTAATTAACGGTCAGTTGAAAGGAATCCCACACTACTATGAGAGCGTTTCTCAACTCATGATCAGCTCCCGTCTTCTCTGAGTGCAACTTTCAAATTTGGGTTCCGACATCAACTGGCTCTCGAAGTAGCAGGCCTCGTTAATTTAAACAAACATTGCATGCTATAATTGTTCGAGCAAGGGATTTTCGTCTCGAAAATACATCACTTTTCACCCCCATCAAAATGTTTGTGGATTTTTTTTATAATAAATTGCATTTGACGTCGGATAAATTGCGTTTTTATCAAATGTAATGTGATAGTGATATCATTGACCATGTGACAGAGCCGTGTTCGGGCATAAAAATATATTGAGGGCGCACTTCAAGAAATCAGTATATGCATTTAGGCGTGTTCTCCATGTGTGGGTATTTTTTACATGGAGATCAGTGGGTGATTCTTTGCCAGTTTTAAGCTATGGGCTGTTTGGTTCCCCACATGGAATTACAAAAACGTACAAAAAATACATAATCTATAGTCGCAGAAAAATTGTTTGCTAATAGAGGGGGTTTCGACTAAGCATCTGAGGGCGCCCTGTCGGCGGTTATTGGTAACGTTATTTTAAAGTTTGGTTGCGGCCACCACAAGAGGGCGCTTTACACATTTCCTCCTCCTCTTTGGGTCAAAATATTTGCCATAATTTCTCATCAAATGCTTTACAATTTGGTACAAAGAGTCAATATTTGTCATTCCGTGTCACCGTTTTGAAACGTAATACTTTTTTTTAAGGAAAAACTCATCATTGTGTCATTCCTCGGTCTTCTAAAAGTGTAATATTTGAGCCGAATTCGGCCCTCAATGTGCAATGATGTTAAATGTTAATATCTTCCTTGGAGGTTTTTTATTTTATTCTCAAGCTCCGCTTGATGACAAGTTGAAAATTTAAACCTTTAAACCATTTGGGTGTGTTTGAAACATAAAGGTAACTACAACTGTCTATTCTCGTCTCGCTTGACTAGAAATTAGAAAGATGTTGCCTCCCCCGCAAGGAGGCAAGGTTCATGTACTGTATTCTACATTAGGCCAACTTCAAAGGCCTACTCGCCCGTTTTACTTAACACTGAACTTTAATTTGTCATCGGAATAAGATGAAAGCACCTGCAGAAGTAATGGTCAACAGTAATTTATATAAACCGAATGGTCCTACTTCAAAACCATCATTGTTGATTAATTGGGCATAACCGATTCCAAAAGCGAGACCGACGCTATCTCGTCTATCCGTGACGGGAAATGTATGGTGTGTAAACAAAGCATGTGAAAGGCTCCCCCGAAACGCACTGTCAGTTCCGTCCTCAGATAAATATTCATCACCGGTACCTCCAAGATCAACAGGGCAATTTAATTAGTTGATTTTTCTGGCAAGGGTTGGTTAACGCATGCAATTATCTCCATTGAGATGATTAAAGAGGCGAATGGCACTGAGAACAGGAGGCACGGTATTAGCCTGTGCATAATAATACGGTAAACGGAACCCGACTATTTTAATTGCATACGGTGTGACGGGTGACGTCGGTGCTTTTAGTCCGCAGCATATTACCGACCCCATTTTGATCACTCATTTGCCAGTCCGTGGAGACGTTTACGGGCAATCGACTGCCTTTATAAGTACAGGGTGGATATAGCTTGCACCTCATATTGCAAGGCAGTTGAGAAAAACGGAAATCCCTGCGTGGACTATAGGCCGAAGCGTTTATCGTACATTCACGAACAAGACACTGATGTACAATGGTGTAAATCTTTTTGCGACACCGCAGGAGGAATACCAAACAGAAGACAGTTTTCAGACAGCAAATGTCACTTACGACCAGAACGTGCTGAATTTATTTTGAACTCGTATTCTCTCGGCTATCCAACCACTTTGCCTGCTAAAATCCACAGGGTACATAAATTATACCTGGATTTTGCAACAAGGACGTGAGGAGTATTCGTCGCCGTCTCCAGATTGCCAGTTCGTTTCATTGTACATGTACTAGGATTCGTCATGTCGAAAGCAGTTTTCTTGTGGATTGTTCTCCCCCTCTTGGCAGAGACTATCGTGCCGACAGTTGCTTATTCTCAGGCACACAGGGCCTGCTATTCATTCACGAAGCCCGGAGATGTGATCCTCGGCGGATTACTTACGGTGTCCCCCAGCTCAGCTAAAAATCTGTGCCACAGTAAGATTAACACCAACTGGCTGATCAAGAACGCGTTGGCTATGGACTTCGCAGTTGAAGATATCAACAAGCGGCGAGACTTGTTGCCGGATGTTACCCTGGGCTACGACCTACGGGATGATTGTTCATCTGAGGAGCTCTCCCTCTGGCAGACGCTGACCCTTGTAAGTCCGGATAGTCCCACGACTTTCAAGGATCTCTGTTCCCTTGAGACGCCCCGCACAGGTCCAGTGGTTGGCCTGGTAGGCACCGGCTCTAGCGAGACCAGCATCCCGGTCAGCCAACTCGGCCAACTGTTCGAAGTGCCGGTGGTGTCGCACGGAGCGCACAGCGATGAATTCAGCGACCGGGAGAAGTACGCCTACCTCTTGAGGACCTCCACGCCGGACCGGCTGCGGGTGGAAGCCATTCTGGATATCTTGGAGCATTTCGGGTGGGTGTACGTGGCCTTACTCTACTCTGCCGACAGTGAGGGTATCCACGGGGCCATGCAGTTCGAAGCCTCGGCCGCAAAGCGCAACGTGTGTCTTGCTATGTCCTCCTACGTACGGGACTCCGCATCCGAAGAGGACCGCAACGAAATAGTGGCCAAGATGTTGGAGTATGACGCTTCCACAGTCATTGTCACCTTCCTTGGTCGCGTTGACGCCCTGGACATGTTGCAGTCGTTCAGGGAGGCGGGCTTGACTCACCGCTACATCTGGGTCGCCGCCCAGATATGGGAAAATCTACTTGACAGGCAGGACCTACACGAAGTCACGAGTGGTGCGATCTTCCTGAAGTTCACCAACGAACCAGTGCCCAAATTCAAGAATTATGTCTCGTCTCTGATCCATACTCCGTGGGAAAATCTGAGTGAATGGTCTCAGGATGCACTCTGCAGTGATAAGGACTTCACAAACTGCTCCAGTCTTCATAAGCTGTCACTGGGGCATTCTCTTCTAGGTGAAGAAACGCCAGTCGTGAACGCTGTGCGAGCATTTGCCCACGCCATACACGCTTACATCGAGGATGTATGCGCTGGTAGGCCTAACTGCATCCACAAGGAAGGCATCACTGGACGCCTTTTGTTGTCCTACCTGAAGAACGTGTCTTTCCCCGCCCCAGGAGGGGAATTCTCTTTCAATAGCTACGGGGACGGAGGTGGGGCATACACGATCAACAACTACCAAGAAGTCGACAGTAAATACACCATGGTAGACGTCGGTCACTGGAGCTCATCCACCGCTGGGCTGTGCCTGAACGAAACCTTGATGCGTTGGCAGAATGGGAGCAGGGAGATACCCCTGTCCAACTGCCGCGAGGTCTGCCAGGCCGGCTATTTTTCAGTACCACGGGGGAGGTGTTGCTCCGGGTGCCACTCATGCCCAATCGACACTATCGTAAAGGGGAACGATTGCGAACGTTGCGGGCAGACGGAGTGGCCGGATCCCTCCCGCACCCAGTGTCGTCAGATCGCCCCGACTCCGATGGATTACGGGAACCATGTGGTCATCTTACTGCTGACCCTGTCCGGCCTGGGCATCGCCCTCTGCGCACTGACCGCGGTGCTGGCATTGGCCTACCGGAACCACGCCCTGATCAAATGCTCCAGTCGCGAGCTGATCTGCGTCAACGTCCTGGGTCTCACCTTGGCATTCGTGACGGGCGGTTTGATTCTCCTGCCCCCGGTACCTACCACCTGCATCGTCGCTGAGACCGGGATCGCCTTCAGCTTCACCCTCAGCTTCGCCCCGACTCTCCTGAAGGTAGTCCGGATATACAGGATCTTCCAGGCGGGGCGGCGGTCCGTGAAGCGGCCACGCTTCATCTCACCGAAATCTCAGATGACAATGGTCGTCTTGTTTGTGTTGATCCAGGTAAGTGCATATACAACCTCTGTTTATTATGATACGTCTTCTCACCCCTGCTATCCACTACAGGAATATAGGATTATTTGCGTTTCCTTTCATTTTTTTAATTTTTCAATTAGCACCACTCAAAATCCAAAGAAGAAGCTTCAAAATCGAATGGAATTTGAACATTTGATGTTTAATTTTCTTAAAATGTTGCCTGGATTTTCTGAAAAGATGCATAATCCTGGCCCTTAAATTCAACATGGCGTCACGATTTTCGAATAAATTCCCACAAGGTGAACACACTATTCGGTAGGGTTAAACATGACGAGTACAACATCACAAGTAAAGTGTAGCTTATTAGAGGAAATTTTCGGAATTTATAAACCCCGAGAGAAGGACTTTTTTTCGGAACCTTTGTGTTTTTCACAGTACAAAACCAATGATTTGAGTGTCAACAATAATGTCTCCCTCAACGTCTTGTTCAATTGTTTATTATAACTGAAAAGCAACCCAAATTTAGGTACTTCTCCACCAAGATTTTATAAGAATTGTTTACGATCCCGCAACCTTAAACCTGTGTAAAAAGCAATTCTCTTCATATTTTGCTTTCTATAGAGGGCGAGGGGGTTGAAGTAATTCCATTTTCCCGTACGGACATTGATAATAAATTGCATTACAGTTGGCTTTTTATTAATGATTACTGATGAATCAACACACATCATATTATTTGGAATCACGACCATGCACGATTATTTCCCTAGCAATATTGACAACACGATTTCATTTCCTACAAGCACTCAACATGCGTCCGTTCCTCCTAAGTTTATGTCAATGAACAAGACAGTGAATCGTGCGATTGAGGTATGCCGTTTTGCTATAGAGCGGAGGTAATTTGTTTGGGCGACCTATAGGCACTGGCTATTGGGCGCATGCGTCATACGTAATGGCAAACGGTCTTTGGATCTGCTTTTCTGTAAAGAAAACAATCAATTTCATAATTAAGTTGACAAAAGTCCTATTGCGCCAAAAGGGTCCTTGTATTGTGCCTTAATATGCTCTTTGCCCGAAGTGAAAATCTTACGTTGAGTATAACAGTTGACAAATAACCGGTCACTTTACGGAGTGATAACTATTACTGAGTAATCGGCAATCGAGTCATTGAAGTTTGTGTAGTTGCACGGGGTCGATAGTGCATATAGAACTCGTAATCAATTAAATTCGATTGATGTGTTTACGAGTAGGGAAATCTTGCCAGGCAGTGTGGTAAGTGATGATTTAGAAACATGCTGTTAATTATTGACCCGATGCAGCCAAATAATCAAGGTATAGATTTTAACCAATGCAAAATTAGCTTAATGTTGCAAAATTGTTCCTTAAAAATAAAAGGACAAGTAATAGAGGCTTTACTTTTGTGGTAGTTCCATTGTAATACAATTGTACTAATGGACAAAACACGTTCTAGGTAGTGGTATATTATGGGGCATATGTAATATAGAGTAGCTGTGCGAATGGGTTGTTAATAATGAATGAATGAAGGAATGAATTTCACCGCACTGTAAAGAATATACTAGTATAATCACCAGAACACGGTTCTCAAAGACCTGAAAGATTAATAGTAACACGAACGCGCCTACTAGACTCTACATGGTAAACAATATTGCGCCCTTTCGTGTTTTTTTTTTTGGTTGGTTAACTCTCGTCTCATGTCCTTAAATGCCTCGAGCGCCCTCTGGAGACAAATTGCAGTACGGTCGGCCATCAAACAAGCATTGGCGACGTGACGTACATCGACGTCACTCACTTCAAGTCACTTTAGGGTCACCCACGATCCTTTTTTTGTCGCCATGACAATATTTGGTGAGATTTGATTAGATGGAACGCGTTAAGTCCTGTGGGGCCGAGCAAAATGGAATATGTCACAGAAAGGGTAGGCCTATGTGCATACAAATAATCGTGTGGGTTTTTTTGTACCCAACTGCAGCAATTAGAAAATCACTATGCCTCACGTATTCAAACAATTGTGTTTATGTTTGCCAAGAGCAAGACTTGAGATCCCTTGTGAGAGTTACAATTCTATGGATTCCTTAGTTTGAGTCCCCCTCGGAGACTTGAATTCTAAGGCCCTTGGTTCCCGACAGCCATGGAGTAATAGAGCAAACAGAAAACACTCAATTCATTTTGGAAAGTATCCATCAGTTTTAATCACCCAAAATGACATTTGGGAAGTGCCTATAATCTTTCAATCCTCATAATGGATATCAATTGGACTTTAGATGGCCATGGTTCAGCATTATGTTCAACACACACAAATAAAGTACTTCCTAAACCGTTTTACCGTTTGTTTTTCATTTAGGTTCTGATAGCCGCAGTGTCGATTCTTACCAGCCCCTCCAAGCCAGAGACTCTCGCTAGACCGAACGCAAACGGCATGATGCACGTGGTGGAACTCTTCTGCCAGTTCGGTGTCGGTTTTTACGCCAGCGGCCTGTACAACCTGCTACTGATCTTGGGCTGCTGCCTGGCCGCCTTCAAGGCCCGGAAGGTACCCAGCAACTACAACGAGTCCAAGTTCATCGCGGTCAGCGTCTACTCCACCCTGGTGCTGTGCCTGGCCGCCGTGCCGGTCTACACCACGGCCGTGGACGTGCTGCAGAAACTGGCCACGGTGTGCCTCGCCGTACAGCTCAACGCCTACCTGACGCTGGTCTGTGTCTACCTGCCCAAGCTCTGTGCTATCCTCTCCGTCAAAGAGGGCGGGGTGACCCTGACGGCTTGCAACACCGCTCCCTGCTCGCAGGCACCATTAGAATCCGTTCACCGGAACCTACGCTTGGTTGATGCCATTAAGGTTCACCCTATGCCATCCATTGACACGTCTGTCCCCTGCAGATCATCCATTATTTAAACAGGGGAAATGTGTACGAAAACACCGTTTAAGAAAAGAAACAAGGGGAGCAAAATGGAACAACCCTTGTTAATTGACATAATTATACTTCTACTATCGCCAAAAAAACGGGAAAGCAATTTTCATAAATGTCAATTTATGCGAGACGCACTTCAGAGGCCTAAGTCAAGTAAAACACCAAATAATCCACTGTTACCTTCCATCGCTAACTGACCCGTACTATAAAAGCATTGAACTGGCGAACTCGGGGCTGCAGCTATAGCTACGAGTATAAAGTTACAGCGCAGTCAAACAGCATGATACACCAATGATGCAGGCATGGATGCATCCAGTGCGCCGAACGTGACAAGGCTACACGCTGACGGAGCTTTTGCACTGGACAAATCACTATGGTACAATCTGAGTTTGATCGTGCTGATAGTATTGGGATCGGTGGGCAACGGTCTGTGCTTCTATGCTGTGGTTAGATACAAGTTTCTACGGACGGTGCCAAATTTCCACGTCACCTCTCTGGCGGTGTCGGACCTGTTCGTGTGCGTGTTGGTCTTGCCCCTGACTGTCTATAACGGGCTCAGGACAGGAGAATGGAACTTGGGCGGTTTCATGTGTCACCTGTGGCCTTTCTTCGCCTCCGTGGGATCCTTGTCTTGCAAACTAACGCTGTGCGTGATTTCCGTGGACCGTTATCTGTCGATCGCTGCGCCCGTCAAGTACTTGAAGTACCGTAAACCTCGGATAGCGCTGGCCGTCATCACCGCGACGTGGCTGGCTGTATTCGTCACGTCCTCGCCTTTAATTTCCTTGACTTCGCGCTATCGCGGAAGCGAATGTTTTCCAACAGAAACCATCTTTGACATCCGGGCCACCTTGGCTGTATGCTTATTCGTGCTCCCCACTTGCGTTCTGGTGGTTGTGAACGTTGGAACGGCTCGGGCTATTTGGAAGATCAACCGCCCGCGGCGAATTGGTCCTGGGAGAAACCCAGATGCGCCTGGGATCGGGAATGTCCCTGCACCAAATCAGCGTGATGTCCAAGCGAGCGTGTTGAAAATGCAGCAAAAACGATCAGAGACGCCGGGTTGCAGCACCCATAGGTCTACGCCCATTAGGTACCCGGCTGGCTTGGAAGCTGATGACGCCACGATGGCAAACATCCCCGGTCCATCCTCCTCCAAAGAGCCCCAAAGAGTCGCTTCCAGTGCCGCCGTAGCTGCGGTCACAGTTCATGTCAACCGCCGTCAGCAGCGGGACACAGACCCACGCCCCAATCAGCAGCCGAGGATAGAAGACATCTTGGCGGCCCGTAGGAAAACATCCTTTGCAGTGATAGCCGTAGTTGTCGGCTCTTACATAGTCTGCTGGCTGCCTTTCTTCAGCATCATCCTGTACTCCAAACAGCATCCTGAGGTCTACCAAACCCCAGTTGCTCCCTGGCCGCTGGTAGCTAGCCGATGGTTAGGCTTTCTTAATTCCACCATCAACCCAATCATTTACGCCTCTATGAAGAGAGACTACAAGCGAGCCATGAAGATGATGCTTCGGTGCAGGCGTGCCTAAATCCGCACATGCGCAGAAACCGAAACGTTGCGACATGCCACAAGTGTCACTCTTTGCATATACATGTAGCAGCTAGAAACCACGAACTTAAAACGCGAATTGAAATTAAATTTGATATGATAAGGTTACTTGGAAATTTCGATGCAGAAAAAAAATCCGCCCAGATAAAATCATGGCGGTCATTGTGTGCGAGTCGAGTAATAATTGATTGCGCTTGCTTCCCCCTCCCCCCAAAAAGTTTTTTAGATCTTAGCTATAAACTCTGCAGGCGGCAAACGTCATCGGCTGTATGAAAACCATGCTAACGGAAAGTGGCATAAGGGCCATTTGACGTCCAATATTATAACATTCTTCGCAATGCTCGCTCTGACGTCATCGTTTGAATGTATATAAAAACACCCGCCGCGTGAAACGGAACTGTCATTCAGCTGTTGAAGTACAAACATGGATTCATCGAACTCTTCACTCATTGTGTCAGGCAGCGAGGCCTATGAAGCTTTTGCACTGGACAAATCATTATGGTTGAATCTGAGTTTGATCGTGATGATAGTGTTGGGATCGGTGGGCAACGGTCTGTGCTGCTACGCGGTAGCAAAGTACAAATTTCTGCGGACGGTGCCCAATTTCTATATCACCGCCCTCTGTGTGTCGGACCTGATCATGTGCGTATTTGTTTTGCCCCCGATGGTGTTCAATGGATTCCACGAAGATGGCTGGGTCTTGGGGAAACTCATCTGTCGTCTGTGGATTTTTCTTTTTTCCGTAGGGGCCATGTCCTCCATACTGGTACTGTGCATGGTTTCCGTGGACCGTTACCTGTCGATCGCCACGCCCGTTAAATACTTGAAGTACCGTAAACCTCGGATAGCGCTGGCCGTCATTATCGGGGGCTGGCTTGCAGTGGTCGGTATATCGGTCGTCTTCACCCGACAGGCTTATCACGCTAACGGGTGTTATCTTGGATCACCGACTGAGCCATATCGACGTCTTTCATTATGTATGTTCTGGATTCCCACGACTATTCTCGTGATCGTGAACGTTGGTACAGCTCGGGCCATTTGGAAGATCAACCGCCCGCGGCGAATTGGTCCAGCAAGAAACCCAAATGTACCCCGGCCAGCCCCAGTACACAATCAGCGTGATGTCCAAGCAGACGTGTTGGAGATGCAACAAATAAGATCTGACATGCCCAGTTGCAGCAGCCGCAGGTCTACGACCATGAGGCACCCGACTGGCGTGAAAGCTGATGACGCCACGATGGCAAACATCCCCGGTCCATCCTTCTCCAAAGAGCCCCAAAGAGTCGCTTCCAGTGCCGCCGTAACTCCGGTCACAGCGCCCGTCGACCGCCGTCAGCAGCAGGACACAGACCTACGGCCCAATCAGCAGCTGAGGATAGAAGATATCATAGCGGCTCGCAGGAAGAAATCCTTTGCAATGATTGCCGTAGTTGTCGGCTCTTACATAGTCCGCTGGCTGCCTTTCTTCAGCATCATCCTGTACTCCAAACAGCATCCTGAGGTCTACCAAACACCAGTTGCTCCCTGGCCGCTGGTAGCTAGCCTATGGTTAGCCTTTCTCAATTCCACCATCAACCCAATCATTTACGCCTCTATGAAGAGAGACTACAAGCGAGCCATGAAGATGATACTACGGTGCAGGCGTGCTTAAATCCGCACATGCGCTGAAACCGAGACATTGCGACTAGTGCCACAAGTGTCACTGTTTGGATATAGCAGCTTTTAAAAACCAAGGAAAAACGCTAAAAAAATTTAACTTGTGTTACTGATATGATAAAGTTACTTGGATATTTCGATGCAGAAACAACACAAAAATTAGCCCAGATGAAAGCGTGACGGTCACCGTGTGCGAGTCAAGAATTTGATTACGCTTGATTTTTGTTTTAAGATTAATTTAAATAGATTTTATTTTAATTTTTCTTAACCATACAAACTCTGCGGGTGGCAAAACGTCATCGTCTGTGCGGAATAAGGCCCGAGAAAATCGCGGCGATGAGTCGCACAGGCTGTACAGGGCGAGTAAAAAAAAAACGAAACCCTAATGTTGGGACCATTGTTTCAGGGAAGTTCTGCATGAAGCACTTTCAAAATCTAGGATATGAAAGCCCAAATCATGACCTTTCTTTTAGTACAAGAATGATTCAAATCACTCATGTACTTTTTCAAGTCACGGAATTTTAAACACAACCACCGTTTTAAGGTTCTGTCCACGGATCGCAAAAAAGTTCCCTGTTCTTTCAGCAAAACGAAAACAAATCACATAGGGATGTGTGTGAATTGTTTTCGTTTTGTTGAAAGAACGCACACCTTTTTGGTGATCCGTGGACAGAACCTTAAAACGGTGGTTGTGTTTAAAATTCCGTAACTTGAAAAGTAAATGAGTGATTTGAATGATTCTTGTATTAAAAGAAAGCTTATGAATTGGGCTTTTATATCCTAGATTTTGAAAGTGCTACATGCAGAATTTCCTTAAAACAATGGTCCCAACATTTGGGTTTCGTGTTTTTTTACTCACCCTGTACTACCGCGGGCTGAATAAGCCCGTGATAAGCCCGTGATTAAGCTCGTCGTTCAGCCCGATAAGGAAAAGTACGTTTAAAATTCATGGCCCTTCCCCTCCCCCGCAAACATTCGTAAAAGGACGCTTTTCATCTTATATTCGTCGGAGACTGCGATATAATTTTGTTGTTTTGTACAGAAGCGTGGATCTAGGACAGACCTCAAAATACAGCGTTTTGTCCTAAGCAAATATGGCCTGAAATCAACATATTAAATATGAAATAATCATATCACGGTCACTTTCGATGACAAGCACTTCAGACCTCCAATAATAACGGGTCAACAAATCACCAGGAAATCTGTGTCTTGAAAATAACATAATGTTGACTAATTATTTCGATTTTATGCTTTACGGAAGCTGAGAAAGGCCATTATTATCGACGTAATTGATCGAACATCTCGGTAAAAGGTTTGCATCGATCTTTCACAGTATGGCCGCATGATAATATGGGTGGGGTAATGCCACAGATGCGATTACGTAAGAGTCACCGCGGAATCAGAGTGTTGAAAATCAAGTGGGAAAAGTGATTTTCGTGTTGATGTAGAGATGGTGCACGCGGAGATGCGCACATAGGCTTAAATCAAAATTTCATCCCCACTGAGTTCATTCCGTTGAACTGGAGAAGTGAAGTTTTGCGTCCATTCCTGGAAGACTTGAACTGACTGAGGTGGACGGAATGGTGCTAGTGCTACGGGCTGACGGGCTACTGAAGTTCCTTTTGATGGCGACGTCAGTCGGTCTGGCACGGTGTGTCAGCTTCGGCACATCGGCATCCAATCTCGGTGAGTTGCTATTAGGAGTTGTGTATTGCAAAAGACTTCAATGTTGCAATGGCGTCTTTTTTCTCAGGCATTTCAACTTAAAAACGGGCTCATCTGATGGATAGTTTTCAAGAATAAATCGTATGAAACTGCATTTGTTTGAAACAAGTTCATACAGGCAAACGTTCACAGGCTGCACTTCGTTTAACGCAAGGGGCGCCGTTCATAGTAATACTAAGTTTTAATTATTAAAAAGATAAATGTTAAATAACATGTCCTGTACACAACCGGATGTATAGACCCGAATCCTGTAGTTTCTATGGTGCAATAATAACGCTAAATTTGAATTAAAATAGGCCCCCTGTTCGCCATCTGTCCTTTCTTTTCTTATTTTTCCACCCCCTCTCGGGGGGGGGGCCTGGGGCATCAAGGCCCCCCCCCCGGATTATTTCCTTCTTTGCCAATGTTTTTGCGCTAATGGCCAACACTCCACCATTCCTTTTTTTCTTTTTTTCTTTTTTAAATATTATGAAGCTTTCGGTAATTGGACTCATATTTTGTTATTATGAACAACTTTTTCAACTGATCTGAGCTCGTGCGAATCATTAAAACGAGCAGCAACGAGCGAGCTGAATGCCCCTAATGACAACCATTAGGCTCCCAAAATAATGCGTGGTCATTTTGGCGGGCATTGTACTCAGCTAGCAGAATCAGTAAAGAGTTCGCAAGAACCAAACGACACCGGGCGTCTCTCGTGCACTGTGTGTATTCAAAAGCTGATGCTTTTTTGTGCATTACGTACTTACTCTGTAGGCCTTCAATGCAACATGGATTTAGCGATACTTTCACGTCATTTGGTGGCATATTGTGCGATCGATATTGCTTGCTCGATGTGCTTAATGCACAGATTAACGACATGAATACATCTGAAGAACATAACTCCTATATGTTGCAATATTTCTTAACAAAGCTATAACATGGGGCTATTATGTGACCTTATATGTTCCGTGTTGGCTTTCTCCTGCATTCTATAAAGGCAGTCATATTTGAAAATAAATTTAGGAATTTTAGCGTTCCATTTATTTTTGACCGAATTTTTACTAGTATAATACCATTCAAGTCACCGGCTGAGGGGGGGGGGGTTCGATTGCTCCACCCCTTACATTTATATCATTTGTCTTGTCGCTTAAAATCGGCAAAGAGGATCAAGTGAACAGCGCCACCCAGGGGATGTTGGTAGAGGGGATAAGGTGACATCACAAAACGGTCGTTAAAAAGGGTACTGTAGGCAGAGGACACCGTAATAGCGCCATTTATCTAAATACACAAAATGCGCACATGTCAGAGATTGAGACTTATACAAGTCATTTGAAATCTCCCTTTTTTGATATTTTAAGTAATTATTTTCTTCGCACTCTTTTTCCAATAAGTTGGCTACCTGGGCGGTGGTGCGGCTAGGAACGAGGGCTGGCTCCAGCTCTACGTAGACAACCAATGGGTTACCGTCTGCAACCGCAACTGGACCTACGACTCAGCGGATTACACCTGCCGTAGGCTAGGCTTCGACGGTGTCCGACCGGACGGCTGGGGTGTGCACCTGGGCGAGGGTACCGGCCCTTCGTGGTGTCTCGACGGCGGCGATCAGGGAGACTGGGAATTGGTGCCGTGTCCTGTTGACGGCGATGACGTGTGCACACATAGTGATGACGTCGGCCTGAGTTGCGTATGGGATCCTGAACCTGACGACTTCCTGAGTAAGCCTGTAAATTGTCTGTGCGTCAACAATCGGTGTGTTCAGCGCAAATTTGGACCTTGCACAAATTGATTGCCCTTAATTCAATCGACCTAATTCATAGGCTAACCAACTCAGGAATAAGGACAACAGATTTGCGCAAGTTTCAAAGTTGCGTTGAACAGATGCATGGTGACTTTTAAGGGAAGAGTAGGCCTATGTGCGATAACTATTTGATACCAAATAAAACCACACGCACATTCTCCTGAGAACGGGACGCGCACAATGTCGGATAATTAGTCGGGAAATAATTCGCACCATGCACCGGTTCTTTCAAAATTCAGTCTTCACAGATGAGATTGAGTTTCACAAAAAAAATTCTCTGGTTTTTCATGATAACCTTTTTTTTTATGAACTCTTTTCATATTCGTTGTTTATAAAAAAAAAAATTAAAAAATGGGCTGGAGATGGAACTTCTTTTTTACCACTTTACTCACTGCTTTATCTCCTTTGCCGTTTTTGGACAGATCGCCTAGGCTACATGTTTCGCCTCACAGGCCCCGCAGTGGGCCAGGGCGAGGGCCGCGTGGAGGTATTCTACGGCAGCGAGTGGGGCACCGTCTGCAGCCGGGGCTGGACCCAGTACTTCGCCGATGCCGTCTGCAAGCATCTCGGCTACCGAGAAGGCGTGCAGGACGACGGCTGGATGCTGCCCGCCCAGGAACAAGGCAGCGGGCCCGTGGTGTGCGCCGAGATTTTCTCGCTAGGGCTGTGCCCGGCCGCTGGCGGTGTGGAGGCGGCTGGGGAGGCGTGTACTCACTCGCACGATGTGGGAGTGAGATGCCGGCAGGAAGGAGACGAGGAAGATGGTATCAATTCGGGAAGAGGTGAGTCTAAATTTGTTGGAGAGCACGGACGGTTCATGTTTGCCTGTACAAATTTCGAACCAATACAGTCGCAAGTATAATAATTTACCCATAATTTTGACAGCATTCTTTCCGTTGTATACAGACATGGAATTGGTTCGGTTGGGGATAGTAGCGGCCAGCTCCGTCTTGGTCGCTGGCGGCCTGTTCCTGCCTCTCCTCGCCTGCTACCTGATGGTGAAATCACCCGCCAGGAGGCTCAGCGAGGACCTGGAGAACCTCATCCAAGCCAAGGAGGAGGAAACGCCTCCAGAGGGGGACGGGCTGGAAGAAGTAGGCGTGGCCACCGAAGGAGAGGTGAACGAGGGCTACACAGAGGAGGATGAGAGAGCTGGTGATGGGAGTCTCAGGGAAGAGGTCAAAGGTCAGGCATCGGATGCCGACAAGCACGAGGAGGAGATTAACAGTACCACTGGCGAGGCAGAGGAGGCGAGTGGTGATCCTGGCTTTGACGAAAGCACAAGCGGCTGCAAGGAGACTAGTGCGGCAGTAACCGTTAACGATGTAGATGATATCGAGACTATAGGTGACAACGATACGATGGAACCACATGAATCAGCCGAGATGACCCAAAACGCCGTCAACCAACAAGACAAGGAAGGCATCAGCCAAGCAGAGGAATCTCCTACCCTTCCAGCGGAGGAGAGACCACAAGACTCACACGACTACGAGGTTTTGAACGAGGCCAGCACTCCAGAGAATTACGAGTTTTCCATGCACGGCGAGCATGCACTCGACTCCGTATATTTCTGAACACTGCAGCAAGTTGAAGATTTTGTTGTTGTTAAGCTGAGATACGGCGTATCAAAAAAGCGGCTCGAATGTATCGCAACGGATGCAAATTGCATTGAAGATATCTGGGACTGCATGTCGATTTTTAGCGACACCAGATGTAGCATGTAGCTAGATTACACGTGTCCTCTTCTGATTTTTCATTTTGCTTGTGATGTATTCGCTAAGTGATCACTGTTCACAACTTTGTCATTGTGGTATTAGCATAGAAACATTTTATTCTCAAGTTTTTGCTATTGGACTGAATGCGTGCCTTTCATCTTAGATTATTTCAAGTGAATTTAACGTTGGACCTGACGAGTACAAAATAATATATGGAATTTAACGATATTTCCGGGGTCTATACTTATTTCCAAAATTGATTGATGTCATAAAACAAGTGTAACTGTTTTATTAAAACTAAAATGCGGAATTAAAGGTTATAAATGGTCCGTATTTCTTAAATTGATGTTTACTATATGTAAAATACTGGTAACTCATAGATGACAATAGAATACTGAATGTGGTTAGAGTATTTAAATAAAGGTTGAATAATGTGTCACCTCAAACATTCCGTGTAAGACAATAATATACAAAAATGTATAGTTTAATTCTTTCTTAGAAAGGGGAAATGTCTTAATGTTTGTCAAACAATATTAGAAATAGTGATGAATTATGAGAGTCCGATGAGCTCATTTCGGATACTATTTTATGATGTGTATATCTGTTGCGATTATAATCACAATAAATTAATACAGGACTATATCATACAATGAGTACAAATTACTCAAACTAGTTCAGCTTGATTTTACCATTGCGCAGACTCATATCGCAGATGGTGGGCGTGGCTTCAGCTAACTGACGTTTGAGTTTCCTGGCAACGGCGATGACTGACACTGCATTTTTCGAGGAACGGGGCGCCCCCTGACGACGTCTGTGAACGGTTGGCAGGGCAACTCTATCGCGTTTCCCGGATGCAGCTCGAATGGCGTCCAGACGACTCTTCAGATCCTAATATTTCAAAAAAAAATCAAAATGTCGGGGAAATGTGTGTCATAAATTTTCCGTCGGTCTTAAAGAAATTCAGGAATAAATATTACAAGTCAAGATATCTTGTCAAAATGGACGGACAAGAAGCGTGAGAAAACCTCAAGTCGGGGAGAGCGATAAGGTCGGCACACCATAATAAAGGTGACCCTCTTAAGCTTGTATTCCCAAGAACTTTGTGCAAATATCAAGCTTAAATCTACAAAAAAATAACAAGCTTAAATCTACTGGTACATTATTAATATTAGGTGTCATTGCACTTGGCATTCAAGCTACGTTAACAGTGAAGAAAATTGAATAATTACTCAAAAAAATCGAAACCTTCCAGATACTGACAAAAGCTCACTTAAAATTACACCAAAAAAGCTTGTGTACGTCATCATGAGAATTATAAAACCGCATCATTTGAACCTTTAGTTCTTTTGCAATTTTATCACTTTGCACTTTTTTGCGAAAGGAAAAATAACGTTTTTTAAATTGTCTGTGAGCCTTTTTGACAGCAAGTTTGTCGTACATCACGTACAAACATAATAGTAGAACTTGTCCAGAAAATCAAACGACCGATGCAAAACTAAAAGTTGTACTTACTGTCAGAATGTCATCATTTCGACGATGTCTCTTGGCAGAAGGACCGTCATTTTCCTTCGGTTGGTTGCGCCCCGATCGCCGGCGTTTGGTTCCAGAGCGGGACGCCGGCACCCTACGAGGCAGGGGCTTCCGACCCGTCGATTTCGCTCTCAGCACGGGCGAAGAACGGGCCCTCTTACTCGGCGGGGTGGTGGGCGTCTCCGGACTAGAGCAAGGCGTGTTCGGTGGCGGCCGTGGCTGGGGGAGCATTTTGCGTTTCTTTCCTTGTGGGTGGGCGGTGTCTTCGCGTTGGCTTGAGTCTCGATTCGATAACCTGATACTCTGTTTAAAAAAAAAATGATAATGATAGTGAAAAAAAACATAAGAATATAATATTCTTTTATTAAATCGAGTACCGGAAACCGAGGATAGTGCATCTCAGCGAGACTACCTACCCGTGCACGAGTACCGGGAGGCCTGCTTACAAGGCTGTCAGATGCGCTGCTGTCCCAGGATCGTTCTCGCTTCTTCCCGGTCAAAGAGCGGAGCGAGTACCGCGTCAAGTCACCTGCGAAGGCTATCCGACGGCGGCCTGGTGACCGCGGCACAGTCTTCGTCGATGATGAGCTCCGGAGAAAATAGTGAGACGAGGCGGGCAGTGAGGACAGCCTGGTGAACGGCGGGGTTCGGCGGAGCTTTGGGCGTGAGCTGGCGCTCGTTGGACGGGGGCTGGGTTTCTCTGTGGTTGGTGGATGACCCAGGGTTGTTCTATTTCTCAACTTGAACTGAAATAAAGAGTCACCGTCAGAAGGGTAGATGGGTTTGTTTGATACAAAAGAAGGGGATCAATTTCGACAGAGATATCAGTCAAATATCAAAGTCATAACAAAGGTAGGTCTACTTTTGAAAGTATGGTGCTTCATATAACTGTATCGTTGGCTATAAAGGTGTAACTCGTCTTCTTTATAACACGGTTGGACTGAAGAACAGTGACATAATTTTAGGAAAAGAACTAAAGCAATGAACTTGCCCCAGCAAGTTGTGTAAAGAAGCACATCCTTGTGTTAATTGTGCTTGTTCTAATTTTCTTTCTTTGGTATTTGTAATTAATACATCAGAGAAGGTACCTTATGATGACCTCTCGCCCTTGTAGACCTCCTGACCCCTGACACGGAAGTCTTGACTCGACTTGACTTCAGACGATGTACGTGAGATTTCCGGGGCGGGGATTGCTTAGCGCGACTGCGCGATTGGCTACTCGCACGAGAACTTTTGGTGGGCCCCGCTTTGAGACCGGCCGCGGAAGGCGTGGCTGACGAGGAACGCCCCCTCCGCCTTCCTGCACGCGAGGCCTTCAAGACAGTCATTCTGGTTGGGTCACGAGGAACGAAAGTAAGCTTCACTCCGTCACCTTGCCCCACCGTACCAGCAGCGACTCTGACTTTTTGCGCGATTTTTGTTTGTTTACATACAAAGTACAACAAACGAAGTTTGTAGCATTGTGACGTACAAATTCATCACATCCGCGATATGCGCGTGACGCCGCACGTACAGAACGGTTGGCGCGTTTTGCACCTTGGTACCATAGATATAGAACGTTATATCTATGCTTGGTACCACGTTGTGTCGTAAATCGGACGCGAGACGCGGGCGCTCGTTTCTATGGAATCACAAGGCATATGGAACAGATGCTTCATCCTCCAAGAATGAAAACACGATGTACTGTATACTCAATCGTCAGCAGGAAGGCAAGAAGTGCAATAAGGGTAAAGCTTTTGATATTGTGTCATTTGCCTGACCGGGAATATTTATTTTCAGTCCAGTTATATCAGAATACATCCACATAAAAACAATAACACATCTTTCATCTTTCGAAATTTTGGTGAATGGCGATTTTGGCGAGGTAGTAAAACGAATAATGAATTGGCATAAATGTAACTACGGGGGTGGGGGTGGGGTGTGGATGTGCTGCCCTCCCCCTGTGGATATCAGGTTCCCCCCCCCCCTCCCCTGTTTAAATTCTTAAATTAAACAAAAATATATATCATTTGCCTTCTGAGCTCACCTTGACTATGTATGCAGCCCCAGGTTCCACCCCCCCTCCCCGAAGTTTATCCCAAGTTGCCACTGATATCATAGTTTATTTATTGGCAAACTAAACTAGTCAACTTCCAATACTCTCAAACCATATTATATTTGTATACAATTCTGGACGGATATACAGATAGACTACATGTACACTCAAATGTTTTGTTTTGTCATACAGAGAATGGAATTTTTTAAACTGCATGAAATCTGAAATGCAAAACAGTGTCAGAGATGCATTCAAAGTACATTGTAACTTCTTACAGCGTAGATTTATTTTAACCGAGAAATTGCAGACAGACTGTTCCAGCCAATTTGGGCCCAAGTTCATGGCGCTGCTTCACAGCCGATTTTGTGCCAACAGAGTCTCTGTCTATTTCATAGAGATTGTAAGCAGAAGCACAGCAAAATGAAGCCTAACTCCAGAGGAACAAGTTGCTTAAATCAGTCACGTAACAATAGAAATCTCCATGCGCACACACTCACGCCCTGGAATAGTGCTTAAGCAGCGACTTTTCTGCTAAAGCAGTGCTATGAAATTGGGCCCAGGTGTAGTCTATAGACTAATTCGGCTACAGCCGTTTGTTGCGGTGGCCCCCTGCTTGCGGGAGTCGTGCTCAGGAAATACGCACACACTCCGGGCTCCTTTGACCAATAGGGTTACCAAATTGCGCGCACGCCTGATCTTTAAAAATGCGTAGGGCATGGGTGCGGACGTGGCACCACCGCAAAAATGACTTCTAATTTTGTTCGGTGAATGACACTATTCTTGAGTTTGGGCCATAAGTGCATTGACCCTTGAGATGAGCCTTCCGACCCTTGGCTTGTCCTCCTTCAGTTTCTGTGATAGCTCGGACATCTCGAGGTCAATCTAAGACAAACCAAACATTCACAAGGACTTCTTCAACAACAACACAATCAAAGTGGGCATGAACATTGTAGGTGGCGCATTATCACCTGTAAAATAAAGCTTCAGCCCAAATAAATATGATTCGTATGTCAGTCTGCAAACAAGGTCCATAATGAAAGATTGCCAGGTACCCCAGAAGAGTGGAGCATCCATTCCAGCAACTTTGTGAAAAGCCCCCTTGCTTGACTCATTTAAGAAAAAAACAATTGATTCACCCTAACTCTCCCGGACCCTTCAAAAAATCCAGGTGGTGTTGGGGATGATACAGTTCAGCTACTTTTACTTTACATGGCGCTTTTGGCCCCTGGAAACTTCAAGTATAAAGAAAAGTTTTTAATCCATTGGTTTCCGATGAAGTGAAGGATTAGGGGTATTCCAGTAGATTCCTTGCAAAAATGCCTTTGCAAAGGGACAGTGCAAAACTAAACAGACTTTACAGGTTTTACGGGGTACCTCAAGGTTTAATTTTCCAGTCTTCCTGAATGGTTCATATTTTAAATTAAATCTCGTTAATGAAAGCTGCTGGCCCACATTTATCTACAACTTCTAAGGGGCTACAACAAGCTACGGGGCGTTTCGTTTGGAGTATCATCCAGATCTAGATACCCTCCTCAACAGAACAGCAGTCAATGCTTTCAGGCTAATTCGTTCTCCGATGAGTTTCTGTACCTGTTGGAGTTCCTCAGTAACCTCCACGACATCTTGGTCTTTGCCTTCTGCCTCCTGTCCATGGATGCGCTGGTACTCTGCCAACCAGGTGCCCAGCTGACATCTCTGTTCTTTCAAGGTTCTGTCAGATTAAGAGGATATTTACACATTAGGCATGTGAAGTATAAAAAGATCTTGGCTAAGGGACAACAGCATAATTGTGTAATCAACAGCAGAAATGATACGTCCTTGATCTGAGGGATAACGTCCCGCTGAAAAGTTGATCTAAGACTCAGCAAATTATACAAGGATGGTCAGGAGACCAGGTTGAAGGCCTCAAAAATCCACAGAAAATCATGTTTGACGGAACGGGACTGGCATCTGTTTGTTATCCACTGCATCTTTAAAAGTATCAATTTTATTTTTTTCAATTACCTGAATTTTTCCTTTGCCCTTTGGTAGTCCTGCAACTTCTCATGTATCTGTTGAATCTCTTCGTATATGTCTTGGGACTGCGTATCGTCCATTCCTCCTCTCATTCTTGTACGTTGATGTTGCTCTCCACTCTGGTCAAGCACGTGTGGTTCAGCCCATTGGTCTTTATATTCTGAGTCTGTCTTCACAGATTCCAGTTGAAGGGTCTGCAGTTGATGTTGGTGCTGCTCATACTCGTTATTTCTAAGCGATGATGGTGTAATCAGCTGTTGATCTTCTGGAGTGAGGTTTACGGTCTTTGGGACAACGTGGGCTGTATTCTGTGATGACGTTGTTGTCGGTGTTGTTTTGGAGGTTCTAGGTTTGGCAGCCACAGCTCTGGATGTCATGAAGGCAGATGGTGGGAGGAGAACAAGCTTCTCGGGAGGTTGAGAGGAGGAAAGCTCCGGCCTTCTCTCCCCGTCAAACTGAGGTGATGCATCTTGCCTCCGATCGTTTGAAGAATCTGCCTCAAACAGTCCTTCACTTGTCTCTTTCACAACACCTCCTTGAAATGGTTCTAGCTTACCAATGTCCTCTCTGACTTCAACCAATGGTTCAGCAGGAAGAACATCCATCCCCACTCTGTCTCTGAAAGAAGAAGCCGCTTGCAATTCAACCTCGACATGCTCACTACCTCCCGCATGAGGGCGTAAGTCAGTTACCCAAGGTCTGCTTTTGGTTTTCTCACTGGCTGGAAGCTGACCCCCACTGCATGGCTTTACAAGCTCAGCGGGAGGGGAGGGCACAGGGGGTGACCTCCTGTGGGGAATAGATTCAGAGTCGACACTCACTGGTGCTTCTCTCCGCAATGGTTCAGACCCATGTTGCCTGGGTATTTGATGATCAGCCGTAGACAACGGCTGAGGTTGTGCTGCCCTAGGCATGGACTCCATATCAGATGCCATAGGCAAACCAGTTTGGTGCGGGGTTCCGGCGTTTCCTGAAGACAGTTGTTGCTGCTTAAGAAATAGCTCTTGCCCGGGCTCGTGTGGTGCATCACTGGATGAACAAATCATATTTTAATCAAGAATTTGAAGAGGATACAAAATATTATTATCTCCTTCTTGGTCGAGACACTTATGCTCAAGATCTAATCTGCCAAAGCTCCATCTACCAGATAATGCTTATGGCTACTTGAACAAATGACTTCTGCATGAAACACAATTTTCTCTGATTTCTAACGAACTTTACGTACATTTTCATAAGGGCCCGTCTAAATTCATAATCAGGGACGATTGCGGGTAGAATCGTTAACTTTGTCTGGAAGAAGCTCTGCAAGTGTCCCGGACATATTCCGGGGAAATTTTCATCAGCAACTGCTTGACTCACCAATACAGAGGACTTTCATTACGGGAAGACAGCTGGGAAGTTGTTCAGAATCCTGCAACATATACCCAAAAAAATGTCTGCAACTTGTCCGAAACTCGCCCGGATAAGAATTGAGGCAGGCCCTAACAGACGCCGTGCACAATCCGCAGATGGCAATTTGGGGCGTACTGGTAGTGATCCTAGCGTGCACATGCTTTGGCATTGATGCACCTATATGTACCTGTTCTACATAATCCCCAAGACCGACACACAAAGGGAGAACAACAGATCCTTTCAGTCCTCGAGAGTTGGGTCTTTTGTTTGAAACGGTCCTCTGTAGTAAGTTTGTGTGCTTAGTCTACGGGAGAGTGTTATATTACAGGGACAAAGGGAAACACAAAGCATTGTCCTCGAGAGTATAGAAAAACACTACTGCATGTGCTCTCTGTGTTTAAGAAAACTAGAACTTCACAACAGACCAACTATTTGCTTAGGCCTACATTCATTTCAGCAAAGTTTTACCAATGTTCCAATGATCATACCGTGCGGCTGGCTTGCCTGAACTAGGCTGACTGGCCCAGAGTCCCTCTTTCTGTAGGGACTCCATGAGGAAGTCAGGTCTTCTAGGCAAAGGCCTGGGTCTGAGTGCAGGCTCACTTTCCATCACGACTCTGTAATGATGAAATTTAAAAAAAACACATCCTTATGCCATGTCGAGATTGCAAAATTTCTTTCAAAATTTCCTTTGGAAAGTGCTTTCCAAAGTTTTGGAAATCCTTAAAATTTCTTTTTCAGATCAAATCAAACAGGGTAATTATTTCAAAGAGCTCTGGAAATTTCTCTTGCATTGATAGAGCAGGTCATATTCTATGTGTACATAATTATTTCCTATACTGGGAGGTTCATGATTTTAAAACCACCTTCAATGTAAATGCATCTGCTTAAACATACAAGCGATCTTCAAGTTTAATGCATTTACACAACATGCACACAAGCGAGGTGCCACCTCATTAACACTAACTCCCTACTGTCTTTTACTAAGTACTGCACCAAGTCCGCCAAAATCCATCAATCACACTGCTTCCAATGCATGCTTTGCTTTAGGCCTCCAGGCCCAAGTCCATCATGCTCCATCTATATGTAGTCAAACCAGGCCTGTGGGACCAAGTCCCCCAAAATCCACCAAAATGGGAGATGGGTTTTGACGGAGTTGGGGAGGTTAGGGTTGCTACAAATTGTGCTTGCTACATAATTCTTAAATACAATGTACTTTCCTCACCTACTGATAGCCTGGAAGCCTTCCCTCAGCTGTGGTTTTGAACTCAAAGCAATGAGGGGCAACGCACTGGATGATACTGGTCCCTTATTACTGGTTATTCTGTCCAGGCTAGTCCTGCCCCTTGAGGGATCTACGTGAGTAGGGACAGGGTTGCCTCCTACGTCAGACCCAGTCTCTCCCAGCGCATCGAGGGTTGCATAGCCTTGGTCGGCTGGACATCGGACGTTCAGACGCGGTTTTGTTTCCGACTTGGAGCGCCCTCTTTGGGTCATGTTTATCCAATGGGTCGCACAGCGTCTCACCACATGAAAGATCTTGTACGCACTCTGTAGCAGAAAACAATGAGTGGAGTTTCACGGCCAAGACAAGATGGGCTATATTTACGGTTAGAGAGAGCCGCACTGGATATTTGGCACAGACAGAATTTGAAGCTCTATTTGTGCATGTACCATCACTGACATCAAGAAACAATCCTTTCTGGGTAATAATCCTTTCCGGGTAATCCGTGTACATAACAATACCAATGGTGTCAGTTCATAACATTTGTGGTCAACATGTGTGATGACTGTTATCATTTTGCAAAGCTTTAAATTAATTCGTTAAAATATTTACCGGCCTATTGTTTTTTGCTTCCAGTCTCAAGTTGCACATTAATTCCCCCTCAAATAAACTTTAAAAACCTCTACCAAGTGGAGAAACTGGTACCTTGGCCTGATGTTGGGCTGCGACCTTTGACCTCTGCTCGGCCATGAAAGTCCCCACTCTCATCCACTGGCCGACCCCTTCCCTCAGCAGGTACTGTCTGCGCTGAGCCATAGCCTCGGCCAGACGCTGCTTCTTACGTAGTCGCTCCGCGGTGTAAGACAGCCAGGCGTCTAGTACCCTCCTCTGCAGGACCAGACTCCACTGCCACAGTGCCATGACCGTCTTAGTCTGGTGCTCCTTGGACTTGTGGAACTGTGTGGGTGTGGAACAAAGGACAAGTTTGCAGGATCAATTCAGTGCAGTCCAAGTAGTGCTTCCGTCTTGGATATATGCAGTCAGAGATCGACCTGCGTGTTTTGGCCATGATGACCCTATGTGTAGGGTCACTTGGATTATGTGTAGGGTCACTTGGATTTGCCAACTCGCCTGCCTTGTGGGAAACAACTGCTTTGATTTACTAATCGACACATGAATGCACTCACAGACAGACAAGCCTCTAATTTACGGTATAACAGACAAGAAAAAAGGACAAACACATAAACTAAATACCCAAATCTGAACAGACTAAAAACCAAAAATGCAGAACCGAACCATAATTAATATTTAACAAGAACCGAAATCGACTCTATCTGGAGTTCAAACCCCAAACCGCAACCTTAAAAAAACCGAAACTTTCAAATCACCCACCTCTGCTCTCCACCTCAAAAAGAACTTGGCTGATAACCTGGTGTTGTGTAGCCACATAGACTGCCTCAACAACAACTGAAATAAAACAAATATTAAACATGATAACAGAGGAGAAACGTATTAGACAGTGCCTAAAACTATGTGACTTGTCACCACAAAATGAACCCGAAGTCGCCAATTGCAACTATGCAGTCCAGTGGGGCAAATCCAGAATTTGAAGGGGTGGTTGATATTTGTTTTCAGATGAACCTCAATCCGTGAGTCCTGTTCTACCTTTTTCCCAACTTTTTTGTTCTATCAAAGCTATTAAGCAGTAAAAGTAAAGTGTGTCACAAGCCAATGTGGCCCATCAGGCCGGCGTTTATCTCCGGTTTCGGTAGCATGAAACAACTGAGAATATTTCTGTTCCCCCTGGATGGGATGCTAGTCCATCGCAGGTTACTCCCCAGCTAATGCCGGTACCCATTTATACTCCTGGGTGGAGAGAGACAAGTGGAAATGAAGCGGCTTGCCCAAGGACACAGCATATGGCCAGCGGCTGGATTCGAACCCCTGACCCTCTGATCATGAGTCACAAACCCTAACCACTACGCCACACTCCCCCTCAAAGTTATTAAATCAGAGTGAAAACAAATCCCAATCGAAGAAAAATACAGAACTAACAAAAACTGTACCTGTTTACGTATCTCCTGTTGCTTAAACAAGCACCAGTTTTGGAAAGCCTGTTTCATCACTTTGTCACGCCAGTGTCTGATGGCTCTGTCTGTTTGGTTTCTGCTCGCAAGTGAGCGAACGTACGACAACTGCCAGATGCGAAAGACGCGTCCAAGTTTGCCTGTGCGGAAATGGAACAGTACCGTCACTACTGTATCTTGCCTTTTCATATTTTCTCCAGTTTTTTGGGTCAATTTTTATCTAAAAACACTGCATTTTATTGTTCAAGTATAGAGATATATATTTAAAATGAATGTTAAATTCATGTGGATCATTTCGTCGCATTAGTGCAACGAGGTCATAACTCGATTTTGCAACAAAGTCATATCTCGCGCAAGTACGCTCCGTGCAACAAGGTCGCATCTCGCGTATCGCGACGTCCATTGACTTTGTGTTTGCATCCGGGTTATTTTAAGCAAGATACAACCTTTTGACATTGAAAACTCAAATTTCAAGTACATGAAGTCACACGACATTTTAGAAGATACGACCTTGTTGCACAGGCACAACGATTTGCAAAAAGTACTGATTTCTGAAAGAAACCTTGTTCTAAGCGGAGATGGCACTGCCATCATTATACCCTGCGAAATTATTCTGCCTGAAATGGTATCATTTGGAGACAAAAAATGTGCACGAGTAAGCAACATATTCCTGTTGAGAGACCAAAAGATATTCTGAATACGTTTTCTGTGAATAACATTGTTTACAATGTCATTTTAAAAAAGAAATTCTGGAAATTTTTCGAGCACCTCTGTTGAGTTTGTCTTGGATCCTATGCAGTTCCTCAACATCACTTTTTCTCTTGTGGGAGTGTAAGACAGCATACTGTTGCCATGATGTGATTATCTAAGCACAAGGACATTTATCAAGCAATCATTCAATTATAAAAAACAGAACAATTATACTGTCTGAAACAAAACAAATAGCCAGTCGTCTTTTTCACCAATATAAGAGAAGGTGAAATGTGACATTTAATAAATTGTAAAACATTTTATGTAAAAATGTGACCCACTATGGTATGATTAACGTAACCACCCCCTAACCCTTCAAAATCCAACTGCATATTTTGTTGGAATCTGTTTGAGTAAGGACTGCACTAGTAAAATGATTATGCTTTACATGGGGTCAGGCATACCACCATGATCAGAGTCCAACAATTTGGGTGTTGAGTTTACCATATGGTGTTGGATTTTGTAAGAGTGAGGAAGGTTCCTAGTAAATCACTCGAGGGGGTTACGATTAAAGTCAAGTTCTTTTAATGGCAAACAAGTTCTTTAAACGTTTGGCTCATTTTCCACGTTCCCAGGTCAACCCTCTCTCAAATTGTATGAAATTTGTTCATATCCCATGAAAGGTACGTGTTGGAGGTCCAACATTTACCAAATAAAGGCCGATATCAAAAGCTTTCCAAATACAATTTTAACTTCAATTACAATTAACCACAGCGAGTCACAAATGTGCTGCTGACAGGGACAGCCAAATATTTTCCAAGTACGAAAGAGTTTCAATATCTCAAAAACTAGACAAACATTTTACCTTGGCTTTGATAGATTTCATCCAATACTGGCGAGCTCTCTCCTCAAGAATTCTCTCTCTAGTTTGCTCGTTAACATTCCAATGCCACTGCTTCAAGGCCCATCTTAGCGAGTAAATAAGAAAATCAGTGATGGTTATTATTATTATTACCGAGCATGGTACCTTTAGGGAGACATTCCCATAGGGTTGTGTACAAAAATGTTCAAACTTTCAGGACTCCTAACCCCCATATATAAAATAACACAACAAGCTAAATTTTGACAAAATTGGCAGTTACGACGTTTTTGCACTGACACGACGACTTGTGGACACCAATTGGCTTTGAGCTATAGAAGCCTTGAACTCGAATAATTCTGGGGGATTCTAAGACCACGCACGGGGGTACTCACCCTGAACACTCCTGATCTTTGCTCAGCTTTCTCCTCTCCGCTTCCTTCTCAATCTCCTTGGCTCGCTGTTGGTACACCTGCAGTTGGGATGAAAATGAATACAATCATTACATCATAACCCTCCTAGGTTCGTTCCAATCCTCCAAGATAGTTTCAGAGGATTTTTTTTTGTAGGATTAAGGAGGGTAGAGCATAGGCACTTATAGTTTACATAAGGCTTGATGCGCCTTAAAAGTTCTAGTACAAAAATGTGGCACAAGGTTCCTGCAAGGTGCTGGATTTGATGGGATCGAGAAAGATTATTTTTTAGGGAAATGGGCGAGAGTTAACTTCAACACAGATTCTTATTAACTGTAATACTGGGCTTGTAGTGTAGGAAAACCAAAAATACCAGTTCTTTTTTTTCATATGTTCACAATGCAGTTTTGGCAAACCACAAGCTTGGAATATCAAATCTTCCGTGTTAAAACTTGGGGAAGAAACGGAGCAACTGACCTTCCATGCCGTGAGGACTCTATTCTCAAGAAGTTGTTGACGATAGTTGACAGCTCGTCGAATCTTGTCTTTCTTGATGCGACACTGTATGGTGTACTTGACAAAGAAAAAATAATATTATTTATTTTTATCATTTCAACTAAAGATAATAAACCTCTCTTGTTTACGTATAAGTTTGCCCTGACACCATGTAAGGATCAATTTTGTGAGTTTGCATGGTTCCGTGAAGAACCGATAGAAAACCTCAATGTTTTGGACGGTATCTCTGCCTGTTGTCATACTGTCTGAAATTGTTACGTTTTTCCACCGGTTCTTCACAGAACAGCACAAACTCTCAAAAGAGATTTACTTTCACAATGGTGTCACTGCAAGCTTGCACTTACTGCTGATTTCATCTTACAAACATTCAAATCATATCTCTCTTGTTGATGAAGTGAAATAGATACTAATGGTAAGAGACAAGCTGTTCGCGGTCCCAACCAAATTTGAGAGGGACAAGATTTAGTTCTGTAACAGATTCATCTTTTCATAAAGAGGCATTCTCTAGCTCTTCAAGATATGTATTTTACTTTCCTAACGAATTTTCAGTTTGTATATTTTGTTTTAACAAAAAATCACATTTTGGGCATCTGCAACCCTCTGAAAAAGATCTTTTATTTTGTGCACAAATGAACCCAACCTGCGAAAGCCAAATTATTGTCTGGCAGCTAATAATTCAAATTTTGCAAAGAAATAATTCAATTACTAAACGTTGGTGGATTTTTTCCATTTGATGTCTCATTCAAAAGTGAATCACTTATATATTGCTAGGAAGATAGCAATTGAAAAATGAAATATATTTTTTTTCTGTGAAACTAAAAAATAGCATCTGGAACGCATTTTAATTTCGTGTATACATGTAACTAAGTAGTTACCATCGTCCACGCTTTCCAGATCTTGCCAAGTTGCCTCATGCAGCTGTGACTGGATGCCTTATGTTCTTGTTCACGCCTAAAAGAAAAAAAAAGTCAAAAGATATACAGTAAATAATACATTAAACTATGTTTGATAAGTAATTTTTATCTGTTTGGGCTGGTCCCAGAGGGCCAGCCTATAGTTTTCACTGCCTGACTCAATGACTGACTTTCACTTGTGAGCCGGGCAGTGCTATTGTATAGGATTACCCCCTAACCATGCTGGCACAGATGCATGAAAAGACTTCAATTGAGTAGAACTTGGGGGCTCTGGGATTAACTTTACTAGGCTTGCTTTAAAATCTTGCTTATTTGTCGTGTCATTATGTTTACCTTTTGTGGCAGTCCGCAACAAACTCTTTCCATGTTGTCAATGCTGAGGCACAGAGATGTTCTTCATGATGCTCTACTGCCATTGCCTGGGGAAAAAAACAAAACATTTTTTTAAACCCCGCGGGGAACCTTTTCTTTACTCTCATAGTCTTTTGCACTTCACAACCCTTCAAGTTTTGCAAAACGACTTTTGCCCAGAGTTAGCACCCACACTTCAAATTCCTTGGAGGTAATCTTCTGTGGAGTATAAACACTTGCCACAAATCCCTGCACAATTCTTTTGTATTGTTAAGCTCAGGGCAAGCAGGCAGATTCCGTCACGCTTCACTGCTCTCCACAGTGCTGGTTTTGTGCAGTGACTCTCTGTGTGACACGGTTACTTTAACACTTCATATCCCTTCACCAGAAACTGACCTCAAGATATTTAAATGTTTTTTGTATTGCTCTGAACATCGACTTTCAACGAGGAGGGTTAATGGTTAATATAAGTAGCCATTTCTTTAGCAATAAGAAATTCTGGTATTACTTGCCTAAAACTAGACAAGTTTTTCAGGGGAATACAATCTAGCCAATTAAAACCCACAATTTGCAGAGTTACCAAGATGGTATTAAGATTATTCCAAGTAAATCTTGCTTATAATCTTACAAATTTGCTCAAAAAAAGTCAGGCCACAGTTGTCAAGAATCAGCTATTAAAGTTTGCAGCACAGTGCTTCTAGAATTCAAAGTTTTCTGGGTCCCTTTGGGCGTTAGCCCTTGTAAAGCATAATACTGCCAGGCTATAAAGATCCAAGCTATAAAAACCACTGGCCAGATCATATGTCACCTGTTCTGTCAAAATCAGACTTTTCTGGGCATAAGGTCAAAAATGAGATTTTTGCATATTGTTAAAATATGTCCTTTTTCCTTTTAATAGGTGGTTTAATTTTTTAATCAGGTCATTCCTGTGCAAAGTTATGCTATTTTGAAGTTCATTGTGTCGAAAAGTAGAAAACAGAGAAAATGGCCACGAACGTCACAAAACAGACATTTCTTTAACTGATATACCTTAAAAAATCGTCAAAAATACTACATTTAGAGTTCAACTTAGGGTTTCAAACTTTTATTGTATATTTTAGACATGTTCAGGATTACAAATATGCAAAAATTTGGAAATCGAAAAAAATCACCCCCAAAGCGTTTTTTGGCCCTATCTTAATTTCAACCTCTGCCCAGAAGCGTCTGCTTTTGACAGAACAGGTCACATATGACCATGGCACTCCACTACATCACCTGGCCATGTGGCACCCTACTATTATATACACATATACACATAACCTCTGTGTATAATATTCTTAACCTTGGATTATTTTCAAGCATTCTCATGGTCAGGTGGTTAATTCAATAGCTACATGCGTACCTCTTTTTCTTCTAGTTGCTGTTTTCGTCTCATCCGGTGTTTCCATTTCCGAAGCATCCGCTTCCCCAGTGTGCCGTCATAGTGTAGCACAGCCTGAATAAACGAATCAGGGGATTAAGTCAACGGCGAAAATGACAAAAGAGCTGTGATATTGAAAATTCACAAGTGAAGTACATGTACATATATTGCCAAAACGTAGTTTTTCTTGGTCTGTAGTTAAATTAGGGCTGTGCCAAATTATTCGAATATTCAAATATTTTCGATCATCCACTGAATTTCGATTGACATTTTTCAATTCACATAATCGAAAAACATAACCCGTCTGGAGAAGATGACTAGTGTCTACAAATGCCGCTTTTGTCGAAAGAAACTTTACATGCGTGATTTTAAAGCTTCTGCGATGATTATTAGCTCAACTTTCTTTAATATCGCTCAAATATCAGCCATTCCGCTACCTTAATAAAATATATCGATACATACAGATGGTTTAGGCTGGAGCATGTTAAACTTGATCAGCGCATTTCAAATATTTGAATATTCAAGTCCAACATATCATTATTCGAAAAGCGTTTGCGAGAAAGTTTCCCCACTACTTACCATTCTGTGCATCGTGTTGAGATTCTGGCTCGTCTGAAACATGTGCCACCATCTCACAAAGTAAAAACCCAGGACACACTCCCTGGCAAATACAAAAACAGGGAGCTCTCAACGGTTAAAAACAGTCACAGATTTATTTTGCCTGCTGGGCTGGCCTTGTTGAAATTGCCAGCCAGAGAGGGAGGGTTTTAATGACTTCTTAATACAGCATGATTTTTACATGCATAAGTAGTTTGCATTTCAAAAACAAAATCTATTTTTGGGTATATCTCATAATTCAATGAAACTCTACAGAACACTGCAGTGTACACATCCGTGTTGCAAAATTGAGGGACCATATACTTGATGAATGATAGTTATTATGGGGACCAATAACACCGTAGCTGCAGCCGAAAGTCCGCATGACTCGGTCCTAATTTCACTAACTCTCAAAAAATATCCCCACAACGCAGTCACCACTAATGCACAGATACCTGTGGAAGCTGATAGCCTGGATGCCATTGCACCTTTGGTCTTGCTGCCCCTGGGCGTACACTTTCAGGCTATGTAGGCACTTTGGTAGCAGGCGCGACAGGTAGTGTGCTTCTGCCATGACATACTGCGCCTGGGGTATCAAGAACCACAAAACAAACTTTTAAAGTATACGGGTAGAAAGGCTTTGGGAGTCCGGCTGAAAATTTTCTGTGACATTTTTTTACTGCGACAAAGCCATGGACACTACCACTGAATACCTATCAACTTTACAAAAATTCTTTGTTAGCTGTTGAGCTGGCAAAACTTCCAAATGGCAATCGGAACAAATCGGAAATTCTGTGTCAAAGAAGTGGCTGAGATGCCTTTTTTCTTTTCTTCATTCACTTTTTGGTGAACGAAAAAGAATGAACTTGTCGACCAAATTCTTAATTGTTCTGTATTTATAACAAACATAGCATAATAATAATCTGCATGGCATAACGATAATTTGCACATTCACTTCGAAAGAAAGTACTTTTAGAAGAAATAATTACCTGTCTCTTTCGGCGCCAAGCAGTGTATTCCTTCCACTTTTGCATCATTTGACTCAGAATTCGCGACCTTTTGGGTAGATTAACAAAACGTTATCCATAACTCAAAAGTACCATATTATCAACTGAAACACACAAAACTTTAGTGAAGAGCGCCGGCTGAAGTCATCAGATTACTGCTCCTACATTGAAACAGAGGGAGGGGCAACAACAAAAGTAACCCACCTAAACATGCCCCTTGCCTGGCGAGACAATGTGAAGAGGCTGAGCTCTTCTTTCTCCTCGCACCTCTGGATCCATCTCTGCATGGCATGCAACAGCAGCTGGTTGGAAAAAAAAATGACGCAGAAGAGGGTTGACATGAATAAATTGAAGAGAAAATTCAAGTTATATGTTGGCTATTTTCCTTGCTCAGGAGTGAACAGTTTGGGGTGACATATATTTGGGGACTGATGTGACAAGTATTCTCAATGTTATTTGACATTAAAGCATTTCCTAGATATGGCGGATCCAGAGAATGAAAACCTGAATGGCACTAAACCAGAAAATTCAGCATTTAAGATAATAGATAAGATGGTGCTGTTAAAAAAATATCAATATTGCTGAGCTCTTTTTTATATTCTACGTCAAAACGGACAGGCGTAAGATATTTGATAAACGCTCCCTCTTGAACTTTAAAGATCTAAAGCAGTTTCTTATCCCTCTCGTGAGGATCCTACACAAGTGAATGGATATTTTGTAAAGAACTTCGAAAGCTGATATAATGTACACAGAGGAGATTGGAGCACTTAGACGCAAAACAAACATTCCCCTGAAATCTATTCAAGGATTGACACTTTCATGGGTTTGGACATATTAAACTTGACTGATTTTTGACACAAAGGAACATTTTGGAAATTCCTTTCAGATTTGGGGTAAACTTTATAATAGGGTGACAGTTACTCATTGCCCTCAGCAATATTCAGCTCTCCAAAGCAAACTTTGTCAACCTTCTGCTGAAATTTTTTGTATAATAAGCAAAACGTGACTTTTCTGAAACCTCACCGAATGGTTCCTGAACATCTCTGCTTTCGCCTTCCTCCTTTCCTGCAGTCTTTGTCTCACGACAGCGAGTTGAAGAGCACCAAAGCTTGATTTCTGCAGGCGCAAAAAAACATTGCTCAAAATGTTGCAAAACATTGTATCATTATTACACACATTTTCCTCCAAAGCACAAATTCATACTTGGAACCCTCAAAAATATAAACCAAATGTCAGGCAGGGAGAAAATGTCCAACAACTTTTTAAAAAAACTCAAGCGTCGCTCATTTCTGAACTACATCTATCTATTTGAAATAATAATATCGCCTTCCATCACTGTGACCCAGGTTCGAATCCTGCCCAGGGGCTATGGGCTCCGTGCGCCAACGAAAGAGGGCGCCCTTTTACCTAGCAACAACGTCCCATGGGCAGGACATTTCGCTGGTTGACGCGCACCGTTCCTTGTGTGTGACGCACGTACACCAGGGGATTCAGTTGTACTATGTACACCCAGTGCTAGTGGTGGCTGCGCGTCGCGGCAAAACTGCAGTCAGGCAAGATGGCGTCGGTCGGTCACCCCCAACTGTGCTTTCTTTGCCAGTGAGGGTGTACTTTTGAACGGAGTGGATAGGTGGATTGGGTTTTCCATCCTTGCCTGAGCCCGTGGGTTTTCCTCCCACCTAATTCAATGGTTTTGAACTGCACATTGACTAGGAGAGTAAATGAAAATGCAGTAGTAGGAGAGTAAAGTTAAAATGGGCAACTTTTCAATCAAACAAATGAGTAACTAATAACAATGTGATGTCTTACCAGGAGTTGGCATCTGTAGTGCTGCTCAGCTACTTGTATCTTCATTCTCCTCTCAAACTTCAATTTGATGACTTCGCAGAATTAAGGACAAACAGGTCGTCTTTCAAAGCTGGGAAAATGTGTACTTGGCTAAGAGCATGTTCATATTTCAAGAGCATGTTCATGTTCATATTTCATGGAGGCAGGGGTAACTGTTCCTCTCGCATGCAGTGAATTAACCTAGAATCTCCGATTTTAATATCACACGTACATCTATCTCTTATATCCCTTTCTCCAGAAAACTTTACAGGCAGCTCCAGCGTTATGCAATGCCCGTGACAGAGCTTTTAAAGAGCCCAGTGAATAAACCCAAAATGTATTTTTCAAATCTTATACATCCATCATCTAGTAATGGTCAAGGAGATTACAGACTAGGAGTTTTGGATCATTTCTCTGAATCATTAATTAGATATCATGGTTAATTGGCTCTGTCATGGACATTACACTTCCTTTCATAAGGCTGGAATTGAAAATTTGTGCATGTATTTCCAGCAAAAACTCCCATTTTACTCTTTCTAGAGTAAGATTCTGTCCAACTTTCACAAGGTCGGCTCAGTGTACTACAAGTTTCCTCTAAAGACACAAAATTCACTATTTAGTAACTCAGCTCGAACTTCCTTCAAAATTCAAAATATTCAGCTTCATCTGAATATCGCGCACCAATTTTACTGAGGTTGGCCAACGACAGAAAAAGTTTAAGGATACAGTATCTCCATCTGACGAAGTGCTTCCTCAGTCTGCATCTCTCAGCCATCACATACAACTTCTCTCGCTGTTCTTGCATGAGCCTCAATGTGTACCATCGGCCGTGCCAATGCTGCCAGCTCTTGAGCAGTAAGTCATCTCGGTGTAGTTGTGACGTATAAGCTATTAAACATCGACAAGAACAGATATTTATTGTGGAGTATGGCAGTCCGGGGGTTACGCTGGATTCAACTTCAGCCAAATTTGAAAAGTGGCAAATTATAAATGAGTTATCGTGTTCGCTATCAAATAAGACATTGAAGGGTCATTCCGTGTCAAATCCCTCCCCCAAAAATGAAATTTTAAACGCCACTCCCTTTAAATTGGTTCATATTTAGTTTATGGAAAATTTAGGCTGAAAAAGCTTAAATTTTTAAGTTTTCGTGCTACCGCCTGCCATTATTTGGCAATTTTTGTCAAAATGGGCGTGGCCGCTAATTTTCAAAAAGGACACATCTCCATAACCTGTGGGCCAAATTTGTTAATCTTGATTTCTTTTGAAAGGTTACATCATAAGAAATCCAAAGTTACCATCATTTTTCATGTCGGAGTAATTTGAAGTATGATGACCTTTTGACCTTTACTTTCCCCTTGAATTTGACATGAATACACATTGGGGTATAATTTTCATCCAAGTTCGTCTCAAGGTCACGTGAAGGTGAAATTCAAAAAAGTTATCACAGCTTGCAATGAAGTTATTCCGGGTTGCTGCCAACTGGACTAACTTCCTTCAGGCTCACCTTTTGTACAAGGAGATACGGCGTTGAAAACAAAAGAAAGCGAAGAAGTGTGAAAATTATTAGTACCTTTTTCTCTTCTACGGTCCCTTCGGTGAGTGGTGTAAGACACAAACCCCTTGTAGAAGCATTTAGCAACCAAGTTCCTCTCATACAGGTCTATTCCCTTCTGGTCTTTGTGACGTTGCTCCAGCTTATCTTGAGTCGCGGCTATCCACCTCCGCCATGTCTGCAAGATTTTTTTGATAGAATGTCATGAAAGCATTTCATCAAGAATCTCTTATGCTACTAAAGTTGCTTTGTGATGTTGAGGGTTACACGATGGATATTGTTGAAGCTTGTTTTAGCTACCGGCAGATGTGCACCGAGGGAAAGGGAAAAGAGGCAAGGTCAGCGAAGAGGGACATTACCCCCTCTCCACCAAACAAAAATGATTTTGACAAATTTTAAGCCCGAATACATTTTTAAATCAATGTAGATAATTTGGGGAACCCTTACAAAAAGGTTTAATTGGAGATTTGTTTGGAAAAATATTGCAGGTAATTTAAATTATTTGTTACAAAATATTTAAATCGTGCAAAACCCACAATGTTCGAATAAGAATCACCTTGGGGGTATCTATTTCATTATTTGAGAGTCAGAACCCTTCATCTATTAGGTGTAACTATTAACGGGCTGATTAGGTTTGGATAAGGGGTTCACCTGGGTGCGTTGGGGGTTGATCTGGGTGGGTAAGGTGGGGTTAATCTGGAAGGGTTAGGGGTTGATCTGGGTTGGGTAGGGTTTGATCTGGGTCGGTTAGGGGTTGATCTGGGTGGGTTAAGGGAGGTTTATCTACGTGGTTTTGGTGTTCATATGGGTTGGTTAGAGGGCTGATCTGAGTTAGGGATTGATCTGGGTGGGTTATGGGTTGATCTGGGTGGGTTAGGGGTTATATGGGTGGGATTGGTGTTGGATCTGGGTGGGTTAGGGATTGATCTGGGTTGGTAAGCGGTTGATCTGGGTAGGTTAGGGGTTGATCTGGGTGGGTATCTGGGTGGGTTAGGGGTTATCTGGGGTGGGATAGGTGTTGGATCTGGGTGGGTTAGGGATTGATATGGGTTGGTAAGGGGTTGATCTGGGTAGGTTAGGGGTTGATCTGGGTGGGTTAGGTGTTGATCTGGGTGGGTTAGGGGTTATCTGGGTGGGACAGATGTTGGATCTGGGTGGGTTAGGGATTGATCTGGGCGGGTTAGGGATTGATCTGGGCGGGTTAGGGATTGATCTGGGCGGATATTAAAGGGGTTGATCTGGGTGGGTTAGGGGAGCTTTATGTAGGTGGGTTTGGTGTTGATATGGGTGGGTAACGGGTTTATCATGGTCGGTTAGGGATTGATCTGTGCGGGTTAGGGATTAATCTGGGCGGGTGGGCTAGGGGAGGTTTGGTGTTGATATGGGTGGGTAAGGGGTTGATCATGGTCGGTTAAGTGATTAATCATTAATCATGTCTGAATGTATGTCTACCTTGTGCACAAGATTCTGTGCCCAGTGCTGCACAGCGAAGTCCCCAGCCTCCTGCCTGTCTTGCACTGCTTGTCTCTGTGACATCCAGCGCACCCAGGCCCACTCTAGGTATCGCATTGCTGCATGGCTATCTGCCTTCCGACGTAGTGCTGTCTTGGCCCTGCGACTGACGACGTAAACCTTCCAGGCTTCTAACACTCTTGATTGAAGCTTTCCATTGGCTGTAATCAGTATTAAACATTTGGAAAGCATAATAGGCTGCTCTGATGAACGCTGCTTTGCCAAACATTTGGCCATACCAAACATCTCTTTGGCTCCCAAAGTAAATATTCAAATATACAAACCACTGGTGGTGCAAAACAATTGCTACAACGAATGGCAACTATACTGAAGACTCTTTTGTTGACCCCACTGTGTTTGTTATAGCGAAGCTCTAATGCATGCATTATTAAGCTGTTATTTGTGATCTGCTCTCGGAGTTGTAATTGAGTGGGTTTTTTAAATTTCAATTCCAATTTGGTCTGATTAGATTAATAATTTTTCTCAGAGGACTGGTTAGGCCCCCCAAAAAAATGTCTGCTTCCGATTACATGGCATTCGAAAATAGGGTAGGTAGGTAGGGATTTTTTTTTTTTGGCAAATTTTTTTTGTGTACGATCATATGGAGGAGTCTGCGTGTAGTCAAGGCTAAAAGGTATAAAGTGATGGCTTTTGGGTGTTTTTTTCTCATTTTCCAATAAAAAAATTAGGGTAGGGGCTGTCAGAATAGGGTAGGTAGGGAAACCGGAAGCAGAACTATTATTTTTTTTGGCCTTACTGAAATTTAATGGAGAAGTCAAAACCACAAACACCGTGAGGGAAGTGTGCGACCCAACATGGAAGAAAGAAGATCAGCAATGCAACATTACTTAACCCCCACCCCACCCCATCAAAAAGTAATAGTTCTGTATTAACCTAAAATCACATACTTACCATGTGCGACTGCGACAGCATCTTTAGAGCTTTTGATTTTCTCCAGGAGGACATATTCTTTCCACGCATACCACACTGTCTGGCATATGTGATATCTAAATGATACAAGATTTGCCACGTACATGTATAAGCAAAAAAGATAACTCATGATAACTCATGCTTGATCGAAAACATCTATTGGTACGCCACATCTTGAACAAGCGGCCCGGCGGGCGATTCAAGACAAGTGTACCATTCAAATTTATCAGAACAACAGCTTTTACCTGTACCTGATTCAAGCATTTCAGAAAAATGGGTGCTTGAGCCAAAGTTTGAGAAATTGCCATTTAGGAAAAATACTAGCCTTTATTTTAGGTATCACCTCTTTGCAGCAAGAACACAAGCTTGTTATTGTTTGATGTGACGCCAGATTATGCTAAAGACACACTGCTATCTTTACACATCTTAGTGAAAATTTCTATCCACATATATGCTAAGCATGCTGAATTATTGGTGCCTTTTGTCCCCCTGTTAGAATTTGACTTGAAATCCAAACAATCTCAGTTATCTTTTAACCAATCAGAAAGATTCAAGTACTATAATGAAATACAGTTTTTTTTTCGTGAAAAAAATTTATTGAAAATGATTCACTAGTTCTCTACCTCCTGTGATAATCCGCTCTGATCTGAAGTTTCCATTCTCGGCGACTCGTCCACCAGAAATCGATCCATTCCCTGAGGGCAGCAGACAGCAAACGTTTCCTGTAATGTTGCCTATGTGATCAAAAGGAACCAATTTTGTTTGATTAATCTACAGAAAACTTCCTTCAAGTTCAAAGTTTGGAAAAAAATTGCACTTTTTATTTCAGACGGTGACACTGTACAACTTGCCTCACTACAGACGGGCGGACACGACCAAAAGCTGCAGCAATCCAAATATGCAGGAACTTTCTTGCAAGATGTCTGAAAACAAAAAGCACCGATAAAATCAAAAACACATTTTTACATACAATCTTGGAAAAAGTGTTGGATGTAATACAACTATGCCTTATTTACTCTTTTTTTTTATAATGTGAACTGAAATGTGACTTCCCAGGTTCGTTTGGCTAAAATGCATCCTCAATCCTCCAAAATCATCAAACTGCCGCCACGTAAGAATTGGAAACCTTCGGAGGGATAACCACTGCCTCATCCTTCAAAATCTTCCAACTCACTTTTAGGACAATGAAGCAGTGCAGATGATGATGATGATATCCAGAATAATATAGGCCTACATTTATGCAACCTAAACAATGCAATAAACATGTACACAACGGAAGACCTTGACTCAATGCGCCGTTCAAAAAATACAATTGGCACTTTATACAAGACGAGGTTTCGCCTCGCCCACTTCCTGGGGGTGGCGGCTTTGCATGTTTGTTGACGGTGTAAACTGAGGATTTTTAATTGTTCCTCATCATCGAACTTTTGTTCGTACTTTTTTTGCAACAGCTCCTATTGGTTTTGTACATGATTTCTAATCGAGGACGTCCTCGATTTGACTCCTGTCCTCAATTACACAATGATGTTTCACATGCGTGTCCTCGATTTACACCATAAACAAACACACACATACACCCTTTCTTCTCCCTAACCACCTAGTACTTCCTCAGGACTACCCTGCTAAATCCAACAAAGTCCAACCGGACTTTCCTGTTCAATCTACTGTGCCTCATTTTCAGTTGTCTGCTGAATCCAACGGAGTCCAACAATGCGTTATAATGCGGTTCACTTGCCTGCTGAATCCAACATTTTGCATGAGGAATGTACACAAGGGGTTAACTGCTCAATCCAACAGGCTCCATCGGGTATGTGACATAGTTGGATCCTGTTGGATTCAGCAGGGTTAGGGTTACAGTATAGCGGTGATACAGCCTCAATCCCTTAAAATCCTCCAAAGTGCCTGTTGTATTTTGGAGGATTGAGGAGGGTTAGGGCTAATAGAAACTTAATACACACCTGATCCTGATTTCTTTGAGCCGGCCACCCATATTCCATATATAGCCTGGTTTGGCCCTCGGCATGCGAGCACTTTTGGGATCAGATACAGACGACGGCAAGCCAGGCTTCTTGGGTGTCGAGGCCGGACTTTGGAAGTGCACACGGTGAGAACTCTTGGGACTTGCTTTGACGTGCGACTTGGCAACTGGAATGCGAGACCTACTTGGTGAATGTGAACTGTTTTCAAGAAAAGGAAATATAACAATGCAAACAGTTTGAAAACCTCAAATCAAACAGTGACACAAAAATACAGATATAAAGTTTGAAATGGTCAATGATCACGTGAAAGTAGCCCTACCAAAAACAATAATTTACTGATTCCAAATAGGGCTTTGTATCGGATTTGTAGGGTTCAAATGTATTCTTTTAAGGCCACTCTTTTTTTTCCATCTTTGCTATTTTTACAGAAGTCGACCATTGAGCATGCATCATTTATCAATTCAATGGTTCTCGGATTTTACTTCCCTTTACTTGGATATCCTTCAGAGCTAGTGCGAGTAACTAGGTCTCTACGAATCGCCTTTTTGACATTTGGACATAGTCGGGCGATACTGTCGCCCGACCATGTCCAAATGTTAATAAAGGCGATTCGTAGAGTCCTGACTCCTAGTTGCTAGTTATTCAGACTAGGCGATCGGATCGTGTAGCTAGTGAGTTATGGGCCTCATTCCCGAGAACAAAATCCACTTTTAATTTATTTGACTTACCAAACTAGTCATTGGCCAAATGTTAAAAAAGGTGAGAGAGTCCTAGTTCATCATGTTCATGTAGTTACTCTGACTAAAACTAAGAATAAGAGGGGCCCGTAACTACATGATCGCCTTCACTAGAACTACACAATCGCCAATCCGCCATGTCTAATCATGCTAATGCCCAGTAGTAGTACTCCTAATGCCTAGGGCAGCTTATTTCGAAGTGGCTATCGTTACGGCAGCCGTTGTTTAGCGCCCTCTACGATACTTTTTTGATACGCACGCAGGTATATAATTAATTGTTTCCCCACGTTTTAGCGAGCAGTGCGACAGCTCAGTCGATTTTGCACCGCGAGGTTGCGGGTTCGCATCTCAGTTTTGCACTCGAATTTTTTTCCTTTGGCTTTTCTAACCTGAGGCTTTGGAGGATTTTTTTAAAAAGGGAAATGAAGTTTCCCTTTTCATAACGTTCAAATTCACTTTTTTTCCTTCTAATTTTATATTTTCTTCTCATGTTTTTATAAAAGTTGCAGCCCCGTAACGATAGAAAATGGGAAATGCGTTACAGCTGCCGTAACGATAGCCACTGCTTAAAATTAAATAGGCCTTATAATTATTTCACCATGTTCATGCTTACATTTTGGTTGGTGACCTTCCTGTTTCTTCCTTCTTCATTGAGGTTTTTTTAACTTCTCCAAAATTTGCGACAGCCCTCCCCACTGCTCCTGGACCAGCGCCTCTGTCTACGGTAGACGCCCATCCATCTCCCCGTGCAGCTAGTCTCATCTTCGCTGCCTTCACTCGCAGCCCCTCGCTCAGTTCATGTAGCACGGCCTGCTTGGCCTTCGCCCGCAGGCTGGCATCGTTTCGCTGCGAGAAACGATCAGCTTTTCGCACGCTTCTCTGTTGCAGCAGAGTAGATGTAGTGGGTTGCATGTTGAATTTTGCCCACAATTTCACATTTTATGACATTCTTTTTCCATAAATTCAACGTTCTGATTTAGGGTTTTTTGGTAATACATGGGCAATGTTTTGAATATTTTTGACATCCTGTTTGCGTGTTTTTTCCTTGCGCAGTTTCAGCCGAAATGTCAAGTTTCATGTTTAGCGCCAGCCATTTTGAGATTTTAGTCTTGGTCAATCATCTAATAACTCACTGACATTTCCATAATATTTATTTTAGCCTAATTTGACCAAGCTCAACTTAAATAAAACAAACTAATGAAATTTCTTATATTTTAGATTAATTACTTGTGATAAAATATTGTTGTTGAATATATAACAAAATATTAAATATAAAGTTATATTTATTGTCCTACGGCTGTTGTATGCATCTCTGACAAACTTTTTGCCAATCGGGAGCAAGTTCGAGCGAGAGCCAAGTGTTTACCCACAGTTCGACTATCGCGCTCGAATGGTGGACGATCCGCCCACTGAAGCCTACGATTTGCAGCGGCGTTCGCAGGATTTTACTGAAGGGGGGGGGGGGGTCGTTCATCCGGAAAGTCCACCATGGCGAACAACGTGTGATATGTTCTCGATTGTCCATTGAAATCATCCGGAAAGATCAGCAAGCTGGACAACTGAAACCATCATGTATACCGGCCGAGAAAGCCTGAAGCTGCCAAGTCGCTTAAGCCTAGTCAAACGACTACGTTACACCTGAGCCCTTGGGGAAAAAAAACCTGGCTGAAATGCAAAGAGAGACACCGCCTATAAGCGCCACCTGTGTGCGATTTACATGCAAATCAAATGCATAAAGTGACTGTCCCGTAAGATTTCTCCGGCCCTCAGGCGCGGCGTACGTATACGTACACCAAACGACTAATAAACTCCACACCGGTTCTTGCTTGGATGAATTCATTGTGGCACCCGAATACCACGTCACTCGCCAAACTTATGGCTGTTTTCACTCTATAGAAATTACAGTTGGAGGCGGAGAACAAAATCAAGTTGCTCACCAACATTGTCACCGTCGCGTTTTACAGCACAGTGGTTCCACCGTCATCGGGTTATCAATTGAAATGAACAGGTGGGCGCATAATTATACGCCCTAGAGGCGTCAACCATCGACGAGCAACCATACAACCAGTGTATGCAAACAGCGCACTTATATCCCTACGCGTGTATATTTGGCTAGTTCGCACCCGATTTTTATTGGTTCAATATTTGGCAATGCGTAGAGAACGGCTGATAATAAGAGTTTTTGGGCTTGGTTTTCATATTCCTCGTTCATATCAGAACTCTCTATACCATTTTGGGAAATGGTTACTGAAAACAAATTATCCGAAATTGTAGGGCCAGTTTTGTTTTGTTTTCATGCATCGCGAGGGGGCACATTAATGTCCGCAATTAAGAGAGGCATCTTGCGTAAATCGGGGGGGGGGGGGCATTCGGGCAAGTGCCCCCCTCTTCCTACTCCGCGTTCCGCGCCCCTGGATGGTAGGGCTTTGCTACGTCATGTTCTGTGCTTTCATGGAATTTGACGGCTACCCTTCCAACGATCTTCTCCCATGATACAACATTTTCAGGATGAAACACACGAGCCTTATTTTGATACGAAAACGTTCTAAAAAACGTTCTAAATTGAGGGTTTGTCACACTTAGTGCATTGAGCATGAGTAATTGCATACTCCCAGCAGGCTAAGAGCCCCAGTTTAAGTTATTGATAGGTCCTCGAAAAGCACTCAGCTTTAAAAGGGTCGCATTTGCCATCATCATCCATTGCCATCACCATCCGCGGCGATACTTCACCTTGCCTACTTTTGAGGTTGCATTATGCACGCGATCGCAATGATGTTATCGTAACGTCTATGAATGCAACTTAATTTCTGGCAGCTGAATGGGTCCCAGCAATCGTCAGTACATTAAATAATGTCCCATTTATCGTCATGTGATGGGTCCGTGTGAGTGGTGACTTTCCTTATCGAATATGAAGGACTCGTATCCGGTGAGCTTACTGCATGCAAACCTCATATTCAGTGCCCTTTGCAAAGGTGTAGGCCTGCTACTGAAAATTTGATTGCATTACTTTTATAAATTTCAAATCGAGTTAACGCTAGTCACTTTGAAATGAAATACACCGTCCAGTGAAAGTACATCATGATAATATTATTGCGGCGACACAATACTTATGATCAATACCGAACATCTCCGTGACGATTTCCCACCCTCGCCCAAAATTAAGTTTCACAAGCGTTAGTTTCAAATGAAATTGAAAGAAATACAATAATATAACATTTTAGGGTTTTATTGTAAGGCCTTAAGATATTGCGTGCGAGCATCATTTCATAAAGCTATACACCATATGCAACTTTTCCGACCTTTTTGCTTATTTGTGGTGACGCGAGGTGACACGAAGACTGTACTAAGAAAGTTGAAGTTCAGTGGCCTATTGCGTGCTCAACTTGAGGCATCCTATTGCGTGCTCAACTTGTGGCAATTGATGTCAGAATAATTCTATCTCTAACCCTTATTGAAATCATTGCTGAAAAAATATTTGTCAAAAAAATCCGCTCATGGGATTGGATCAACAACTGTCATGTTGGTCTTAACGGCCATAGTGAGACCCTCTTGGATAATTTAACTCTGCTCGTTTTACCTAATTAAAAAAAAATAGATATCACTGTTCTGATGTCGTCACTGGTAACATTACACCTGTTACTTATCGAACCATCATAAAGGTAAAGGTAAAGGTCCCATAGCCATTACTGGCCGTATGGGCAGTGGGATGTTAGAGGTCCACTGTGTATTGGGCGTGGCATAATAATTATGAGTGGCGGTGCCCAGTCCTCTCCTCTCGCCGTCTTAGCTTTCCTGAACGAATCAGGTACCCATTTGTTTTTATATATCAGCTGTACCACCGGTGACGCCTTGGTATTTCTGATCATTTAACAACCATTTTTTACACGACAGATACAGCTAACATAATTACGTGAAGCTTGAGATTTTATTGATATGATCACAATGTTTCACATGCTCATTTGGATCAAGTGCTGTACCGGTTGAGAAAAAAAAAACAAAACGAAGGACCAATTTTTGAATGATCTTTTGCCTGTATAGCACTTTCAAAATCTGAGATAGGAAAGCCCAATCAATGAGCCCAATTAAAACACCGTTTTAAGTTCTGTCTTAGGATCACAATAAAAAGGTAAGTGTTCTTTCAGCAAGACGAAAACGATTCTCATAGCGATGCATGTAAATTGTTTTCGTTCTGCTGAAAGAACACTTACCTTTTTATTGTGATCCTATGACAGAACTTTAAAACGGTGTTTGTGTTCAAAATTCCGTGACTTGAATTTGAATGATTCTTGTACTAAAAGAAAGCTTAATGACTGGGCTTTTATATCCTAGATTTTCAAAGTGCTACAGGCAAAACTTTATTAAAAATTGGTCATGCGATTTTGGTTTCGGGTTTCTTTTTTACTCACCCCGTATACTGATAGGCAAAATGCGAATAAAATTATACACAATTAATTTCACTCCTTCCTTGGTATGCTTACTTTTTGATGTCCACAGTTCGGCTCACTGTTCAATCCCGTTATATTTTACGTTGGGCAAGTTAAGCCTCTTTATAACCTTAGTTGCTTTATTAATGTGCTTGTTGTCGAGGTTTGTTGTATCCCTTGTGGTCCATCATTCGTGTGGTCGTAAACTATCTATTTACCTAAAAATGTACCAGTAGTTACACATTCAAAATTTGATTCACACGTTAATAATATCTCCTTCTTTTTGTCATTATGACTTCTGTGGTATATTCCTGTGTGGATTTACGCAGGGACGGTACGAGAAGAAGTGGTCATGTGACTATCTGCACTTTCAACTGTATTTGTAGCGGCAAGAGCCCCAGGGCATTTTCGGCAAAGAAGTTTGAAAGCCGTCCTCCTGAAGTTCTTGGATGTTGCTAGGTAGATGAAAAAGTTCCACCAGCTGTTGGATAGAAGCAGCCACATACTGCAGAATTTCACGGCGTCCGGGAGACCATGGGTACTGATGTTCAGGTAGATGTTGCAGAAGAGGAAGGGCATGTAGGCGAGGTTGAAGGCGCCGGTGACTATAAACATGGTCCGGATGGCCCGCATGTCAGCCGAACGCGGGCCGTTGGCTGGAGCCCCCTGGGCGGCGATCTGGCGGGCGTGACGCCTGCTGATCCGGAACAACTGGGCGTAGAAGAAGATGGTCAAGATGGACGGTACCGCGATCCAGATGCTGCAGATGGTGACCAGATAAGCCAGGATCTCCTGGTTGCCCCACTCGGGCAGGCAGACGCACAGCACCCTGTCGTAGATGATCAAGTTGCTGTTGAGGGCCACGTAGGTGTTGGCTCCAATGGTGCTCAGCCAGACTGCCGCCAGGGCAACCCCAGCCCGCCGGCGAGTCATCAGGCCGTAGTACCGGAGCGGTCTGGTGACGGCTAGGTACCGGTCGGCGCTGACGCACAGCAGAGACAACGTCGATATCATGGCGAAAGAGGGTCCCATCACGCCGATGATCCGGCACATGACGTCTCCGTACAGCCACCGGTCTACAGCGGAAGGAATCAGGGAGAAGGAGATCAGAATCCCCACAGACAGGTCTGCCACGGCCAGCGAAGTTGCGAAAATCTTGGTCATCTCTGCGATCTCCCGAGTCTTCCATGTCACCGCTATACTGATAATGTTGGCGACGAAGATCGTGATTGCGTCGGAGAGTATGAACGCCGTACGGGCGGCAATAAGCCCGGTGTTGGGCATTTCACCACACGGTAAGACTTTCTTTTGTCCACCTAGGTTTGAGTAATAGATTCAAGTGATGCCATACCCTTGACGGAGCGGCAACTTTATATTGAAGCAACGCAAGAGCTCATTTCGAATTCCCACGAGCGGCGCGAGAACCAATAGAATACTGCGCTTGACTGCTTAATGAAGATCGGGCTGTCCGCTGGGACGGTATCGTGTAGCAAGCCTGTATGATACAGCTTCAAGGATAAGACTCAATTTCTGTAAGTTGATTGAATTTGGGATATTTGTTTCCCTATCTTTGTGATGATCGGGAGCCATGTGTCGTCTCACGATGGCATTTAACTATTATAGCGAAACATAGCTCATAAATTATTCTGAACGCATCAACAGTTTAAAAAGCCGACAGGGTCCAAAAGATCAGAATACTGAGAACGTACCGCGTAAACTTTTGATTTACTGCTCTTTCCTTTGCTTAAATTTGTTTAAAAAAAAACAATGTTCGCACGATCTCCATTAAAAGTCCATTACGGAAAATCAGCAGTGGTAAGAAAAGACACCTTTAAAAAAAAAAAAAAAAACATGTTTCAGCTTTTGTTACATTTTAAGGCCGATTTGTTACTCTGAGAAAAACTGAGCTCCCTCTCATTGTCGGTATTTGTATTATTAATTCATGAAATACATAGGCCTACATCTGAGAGTTTAGCAAAATTCCTATTGGTCGAGAGCCCGTCGCGTGGGTGGTTTTCAGGCGCCGGTAAAACACCGCTTCGTTCTGTGCCATATCACGCAGTACTCACTGCGCGCACCAATTTCCATATAAGGAGATTTGTAGCACTACGCGCACGAGGCACATATCATAGACATGGCCAGAGGGGTGTTTCACAAGCGAGATTAAGAAGTTGTCACAACGTATAATATACAGTGTTCCAAATCTTTTCAATTCTATGACGTTGTTTAGGGGAAATACGCAGTTTCTTTTGCAATTATCAATGTGGTGTTTTAAAAGTTTTTATTGAGCTTTCTGAAAAGTAACGACTGCAGTAACTTTCTCCTCTTGGCCTCGTGACGTCAATGCTGAATAGACTTACGCCATTTGACACGCATTCATTACACATGAAAATAAAGGTTTTAACCACTAATCAGTGTTCTGGTCTAGGCTATGCACAAAGAAGTGACTTTGATATGCGAGCAGATTCGTCGAATAATTATGCAAAACAAGACTGCGTCTTGACCTCGAGATTGTGACCATTCAGAGGGCGCCTTCTATCGGGTCTTCGGTGTTACCCGTTCTTGTATTACACACAAACATGACAGCCAAATTGACCAATCAAACCCTGATGAAACCCCGTTGCCGAATGAAAGATCGGACACATGGGACACATGTATAGCGAAGCTAAGCGACGAGAACACGCGGACCTAGCAGGATCAGCTGCCTACACCGATTCAGCAAGCCAAGAGCATTGGTCAAGGTTAATTGCGACGGTCACTTGGAATACAATGGATCACCCTTTGTATGTGTTCTCCTTTTTCATACGGATAACATCTAACAAATAATTATAAATTAATGATTGTGTATATACATTTCACATATTATTATAACTTCAAATTGTTCAAAACATAATAGCTGATTTGATGTTGTTATATAAGTTACTTCTGATTTCTAATACAATTAAAGATCATGTTTAAGGTAAACCTTATTCAGTCAGCCAAATAATAACTTGCTACCTTTGAATTTTAATTTAATTATTTTCTCGACTGGCATTTCATTCGTATACTTTCTCGACCTTTTTAATGCTGATATACCGACATAATTATTAACTAACCTTCAACAGTGCATGAATGATATCGGACGATCCAGACCCATCAATCAATGAAATTGGAAGGGATTAAAAATTCCCGGAGAAATGGAAGTGACTTTCCCTCTTTGGAAAATTGAGTTTTTAATGAAAAAGGCACTCAAGGGCCTGGCCGCTTCACGTGAAGGTTACAGGCATGCAATAGTGCTTAGGCCTACATCAGTGAGACAAAACCTTTATTAGTACCGGGTATACAATGTACTCTGGTTGAACCAGAAACAGTTAACCTAACTGGTGGTGGAGGATGTCTCTCAAATCTTTTACCTTATACTTTATTTCGTTCATTCGTTTCCCCAGTACTTTGCACTGTCCGTCCGTTTGTGTCGAGATACGCATGAGTTTGAAGAGAATTCAAATCAAAAGTAACAAGGATTACACGGTGTACACGGTGAGTCAAAAAGAAAGTGGCCTGGATGAAAGATTTTTTTCTTAAAAAGCCATCTAATTTGATGCACAAATCATGTACGATCCGTGCACCAATGAAGTATGTCTTTAAAAAAACATGCTCTTCTGCTCATCGGAACAGGACAAAAAAGAATTACCGAAATTGATCCGTGCTATGTCAGAAGTTCTGCATGTTTTACTATAAAATATAGCTGTCCGTGGAATGCCATCAGAAGCTATTGAATGAGCTGAGTGAGAAATACAGATTACACACAGGCATCCAGATAACGTAATTTTAAACGTTTCGGGCTCCGGGGGTACTGTGGTATGGATGTGCGGTCGTCAACTACGGTGATGGGTTTTGAGTGTCGTGGTTTGATATAGTGTCGATGTTTGTCTTGTAGACCTGGGTCCTAGCTCTACAGGTTAGACTGACTTGGCGTAGAAATATTGATTCTTGCCAAAGACGAAGTGTGTCCCGGGTGTTTGGCAGATACAGCGGAGGTTAGGCGCCGCGATCTTCAGTTTTTTTTTCCCAGTGTCATAATGATCGGATGTTGTTTCATCAAGGTCGAAGACCAAGTCTGAAAGATTTATTTAGTTACGAATGTGTCACTTTATCACAGTGGAGTATCGACTTTTCTTTGAAAATGTTCTAAGAGTGGGGGGGGGGGGGGGGGGTTCTGACGCAAACGGAATTGACAACAAAGAAAAATGTGCAGATTCCACCATGCCCTTGGAGATATGCAAGTATTTTTAGATCCATATAGCAGGCGTCTGCTGAATCCGATTCTGCACGTACTCGACTTGCACGCACGTATAGCACCTGTTCCCTTGCACATCTATCGGTGTTTTTTTTTATAAGCACGGATTCTTATCTGCTTTGGCTTCACGTCTGGCTTCAAGAATCATTAAAAAAAATCTATATGATGATATAATATTGCCAAAGCAGAAAGTGAACCAGTTGGTGCCAAAGTCCTTCATATTAGGGGCTTACAAAAACTTTGTGAGGCCACGACCGGAGACGCACCAAAGGCTTTGAAGAACCACTAAGCCTGCGGACATAAACCCTTTTACAGACAGCACGCGTGAAGGTGCTGCACGCCATGTATTAATTAACCCTAACCTTCCCAAATCCTCCTCTTTGTACATGTATAATGGAGGATTTTGATAGACTTAGGAAGTGCGGCAAAAATGTGGGGTTGATTTTGGAAGATGCATTGTGTTAAGGTCTTGGGCGAAACCAGTGTGCTGTTGATATCTATGCATACATTTAGGCCTGGATTATACCGGTATTTGAAATCGTCCATGCTGCTTCTTGATATCATCAGCGCTGCATTAATGTATTAAAAGTGAATGCTGGAGGATTTTGAAGGATTGAGGCATGCAGTGGTCATCCCACCAAGGAACAAATTTTTAAAAAAACGGATGATTCTGGAGGATTTAGGCTGTATCAAAGTTTTACATGCAGGCAGTTGGAGGATTTTGCAGGATTGAGGATGCATCCTAGCAAAAAGGCCTAGGGGTTAGGGTTAAGGATACTTTGCTCTGCAGCTTGTAAGCAGTTTGCAGCAGTGTTAAAAGTAAACAGTCAACTTTGCTGTGAACATGCTCAGTCGGAGTATCGAACTTGCCTCTAAGTCAGTCACCTTTGGAGGGACAACACTCCTCGTTACAAAGTGCACATCTGATGTGATTACAATGAAGGCCAGCTGCATTCGGGAGGAAATAAAGAGAAAACGGGTGTAAGCACGGTATTGATACAGCGGGGATCAGCATCGCTTACACCGGTAGATGGAGCGACCTTGGCCGCACGCACGGCCGTCTTTGAGAGAAGATCTCCCGGACAAAGGTGTGTAGGAGGAAAAACAAACACGTACACACACAAACGAACTATAAAATAAAAGAATAGCCACCAGTATTGGCAGCTCGCGTTTTTAATTTCATTTTTCCCCTTATGAATCTCCTGGCAATCCCCAGTTTGTTTTTAGTTCAACATTGTCCATCGGTAGTATTTGAGCACGTCTGGTGATATTCATGCATAAGTTCTGTGATTTTTCTGTTATTCTCTTTTTATTTAATATGATGAGAAGTAATTGGATTGAGTCGTGCAGTTTTGAATGTGTTCAATCCAGTTAATGACTTGTTTTTCGGCGTGTTCCGGGATGTAAGAGAGTCACCAAAACGCTGTGCGGCGTAAGCCTAAGCAACGGGAAAGCTGGGGGGGGGGGGGGTGGGTGTTGCAGGAAACAAGATTCCAAAAACGGGAGATAAACATAATGGCAACTCCCTGTCATGGCAAGATTTAATTGCTGTTGTACCAAAAACTGAACGTAACTGGAAAAAAAAACATCAATTATGAACAATCTTCAATGTCCCCAACAATCTTCAATGTCGCATTTTTGCGACCTCGGGACCCATATTTCACAAAACAGGTATGCGGACGCTTGATCCGATTATTCAATGTCTTTTTTGGTTATGTCTATATACATGTACATAGCTAATTGTACAACTAGTATTCTGCCTAATTATACGCAGATTAATATTAATGGTTAGCTCGTCAAATATTGAAGGTTAAAATTAAGTACCTTGAATGGTAGCCCGACTGCGTCTGGCCGTACAGTACTATCGCAAGCTCTGTAGTACGGCCAGACGCCCGATGCTTCCACAGAGACTGAATTTTGTTGGCCGCCGATGTAGCGATTTTGCTACATCTTTCGATCGCGATTATCTTTTCATCCAGGACACACATTTCCAAAGTTAAGGTTCGTAGTCGTAGAGCAACTCATACCTTTTCGAAAAAACGTTGTTTGGTCTCAATATTTTCATCCATCTGGCCACAAGACAAATTTCAGTCATCAGATTCCACAAATATCGTCCCCCATGCGATCCCCCATGCGATTTCAAAATGGCGGCCGCGCTGTAATGTATGCAATATGCAGGCGCGCCCGCACAAACTCATGAATATGCATAAACAGTCTGTGACGTATGACCTCGTGTTTTTGGACGTGCGTGCGGCGGGGCCGTACGTCCAAAAACACGAGGTCATACGTCACAGACTGTTTATGCATATTCATGAGTTTGTGCGGGCGCGCCTGCATATTGCATACATTACAGCGCGGCCGCCATTTTGAAATCGCATGGGGGATCGCATGGGGGACGATATTTGTGGAATCTGATGACTGAAATTTGTCTTGTGGCCAGATGGATGAAAATATTGAGACCAAACAACGTTTTTTCGAAAAGGTATGAGTTGCTCTACGACTACGAACCTTAACTTTGGAAATGTGTGTCCTGGATGAAAAGATAATCGCGATCGAAAGATGTAGCAAAATCGCTACATCGGCGGCCAACAAAATTCAGTCTCTGTGGAAGCATCGGGCGTCTGGCCGTACTACAGAGCTTGCGATAGTACTGTACGGCCAGACGCAGTCGGGCTACTTGAATGGGAACACTGTTGAACGAACTCAGAAATATATTATACAATATATATTGGCTGACATTGCTGTTTCGTTATGTGTGTAGATTACGGCGAACGAACTGCATAATGCACGTCTACTCTTTTCAACTAAAATGTTCAAATGGCACGTTCAGGCCACTGTACAATTAGATTTAGAAGTTTAATTTGTGACGTCACCATTAAAACTTCTACTGTTTCTATAGTAAAATCTGCCGATTGTTCTTTTAATCGAGGTGAACGCGCGTGTTTATCACTGGCGGTAACCGTGCGCGCGCGAACGTAAACAAAATCTGAACTTGCTACTTGCAACCAAAGATCCTATAGCGCCGTAGGCCATAGGAGGCGTATCCACTGTACGCGATACGGCAGGGGTGTAGTTTGGAGGCTTGGCGGCGAATTTCATCTCGCCCTCCGCCATTGCTCCATCTCTTGGCCCTGCTTGTGAAGTCAGAAAAGCACGGCTAGGACCGACGAGCCCGCTAGATCATGCCCATGCTTCCGGTCGGCACCCACTTCCTAGCTCTGCTCCTAGCTTGCACCGTTGCCATTCCCAGGTAATACTAATGCAGGATCCGTGATTTTTGTTTTATTGGACTCACAATTCAAATGATGTTGAAACGCAAAGGAATGTCTTAGAAATGAACTTTGCAAGTTTTGAATTTGGAGGAAAATCATTGGGTAAAATTACAACAATGAAGACAAAACATACACGAAAATTAAGACAGCGATGGTGTCATGGCGGCGATGCAGTGTTTCAGAACTTACCCTAAACTATAGACCTTTACCTATTTTCGGTTCAATGACCGACAGCAGCACGGACGCTGGTCATGGCGATGCATCGTCTGCCGGGGCAAGCGTCGGTCGATCGGCCGGGGGACTGGTGTCACGATGGGTGCTGTTCGAAGGGGAACTCGGCGAAAACTTGGGCTGGCTGCTGGGCTCGTACGCCGACCTAGCTAGGGAGTTCGTCTACAAGATAACGCCCACTGGATTTCCCTGGGGTAAAAAACTAAAAGCTGATTCAAGACACAAAATGTAGGACCTAGATACACTGACATTAAATTAGGCTAAATCATAGGGCATGATATAGCATCATTTGCTTTTCATGCATTTTGTTCGTTTCCAATAACAACGTTGGTCAAAGGCAAAAGGAGAATGTTCAAATCCTAACTTGTTGTAGTTTAACTTCAGACAGTAGATATTACACATATGGAAAAAAAGAAGTAAAAGCCAAGCCCGGAATAATTTCACGGGGTGTTTAGTACCAGTATACGATCTTTAATCCAGGTAATTTTGATCTATTTATAATAATTAAGGTATAGGTTACTTTTGGGATATATGCAAATAATCCTATGTGCTTTTAAGATATATAATTATGCATACTGTCATCAGTAAATTCTTTTTCTTGAATGGTAACAGATAAACTCAATCAAAGACAATAGAATACTCGCACAGAGCGCACCCAGTAGACCTCAGACATAATGACGTCAAGCTTTACAATGTGAGTTTTCCAATCATGAGTGGGTGGATCTCATCCCTGCTGGCTCCCATAGAAAAGCGCACATGTAAACAAAAAAAGTAAAATTTTGTTCAATTAATCCCTGATTTGAATCCAATATACAGTTCTTTTCTAGCACGATAAGTGTTTTGCCGTAAAGTTGATAAAAATATATGCACATCCCACATTGATAGTCACACTTCGTCCAATTTGCTTTGTTTTTAACCCCGTGCATTCCTCTCTAAGGCCTGACGCAGACGAGAGCTATCTGCATCGCCAAAGTTCATTCATGGCCAACGGCGTATTGCAGATAGCGCTCGTGTGCGTCCGGCTTAAATTATATCCTCTTCATTCCGGGACTATGGAGAGCGTTCCGTAATCCAGAAAGACAGCATGGTTAACGAAGGATTGGAACCAATCCTAGTCAACACACGTGGCGTTATACGAAAACACCACTCCCGCGATGGGGCTTTCGTTAAGACGAGAATTTCGGGGTTTTTTTTTAGGATTAATCAAACCCTCCACTACTTGACAAGGATGTGATATAAATCCACAACTCGAGCTGTTTGTCTTGACAAGAAGAAATTGAGAGTTTAAGCGCCGATAACCTTGGGGCGGATGCTCTGTAACGTTAACAAAAAAACTGATCACAAAAAATGTTACAAAACAAATTCCAACGGTAATAAATTATTGTCAGGAACTACACTTTTGAAATAAAATAAAATAATTGTGTTTCTGTGTTGTGTTAGTCCGCCTGAGGCATCTCGCCACAAGCCAATAGGGCCTAGGCTTCTAGAGGACGCCTCCAACAAACACAAACACATTTATTTCCTCTTCATGACAGAAATGAAAAACTAATATATTAAGTATTGAACAAGATATAAAGGCCATGGTGGCAAAACCTTGAAAGCTTAGCCTGTATCGGGCATGCCATTACACAGTACAAAAACAGACGAATTGATACACAAAATTAATAACACACATGTATACTTATATAAGCAGTAAACAAAACTTATGAAAAATAATAATAATGGGCTACGAGTAGGATCACAAAAAAATCCAAAGAGACACCAAAATACCCTTAAAAATGGCAAAATGAAAATTGAAAATTAGGTTAAATGGGACACAAAGGTGCATTTTCAAGCACTGCATTTAAAAAAAATACATTGCATGGAACCCTTTAATCTAGACTAGAAAATATAGTCAGTTTAGGTCGCCAAGCTGCCTTTAGTCGTGAGCCCAGGTTGATTGTTCTGGTCCCTCAAGCCACAGAGAAAGGACGCAGACAACATGTCTACAGTTTTATTTTTTTAGGGCCTATAATACCATGATGCTGAAGGTCTTGTCGCATTGATGTCAGCATTACTGTGCAGATTAAATCTCAACAGCCTTCGCGTGAAGCGGCCAGGATGCTGCATTGAGTGCTTTTTTTATTATTAAAAACCACATTTTCCCAAAGGGAAGTCATTTTCATTCCTCTGTGGAATTGTTTAATCCCTTCCAGATCCCTTAATTGGTATCTTCACTGGATCGTCCGATATCATCCAAGCACTGTTGGAGGTACGTTTAATGTATAACGGCATGAAACGAAAAGTCGGGAAATTGCGTATGAAATGCCAGTCGAGAAAATAATTGAATTAAAATTTGATGAAATTCTTAAGGGGCCTACTGAATAGGGTTTATACCTTGAACATGAACTTTTGTTGTATTATTAATCAGATATGATTTTGATGTCTAATCTTAGGGGGATATGCGCCAATCTTAGTGAAATAGTTTGTGCAATGGCCTTCTGTATAACGCGATATAGGAAAAAACTTATATTTTGTGGATGGATGTCCAAGGCAACGAGCAAAATTGGTTTTTCGAGATAACAAAGTCGGTAGAGCTGGTAGGCCTTCCGAGCTGTACAAAACAGTGAAGCTACGCACTGGTTCCCGATCCCTCGATTCGAATGTGGAATGAGAACCAGCCTCAAACACTCCCATCGTTCAAACTGATTCAAATAAACTCGCCTAAAAGTATACGAAACATTTTTGTTCCTAAACAGAAATTTGTTTGAAATATATTTTGTTGCCATTTTAAACCCCCCAAGTTGAGTAAAAAGTGTACATGTCTATTCAATTAGATATCTTTTTTTATTCTACAAATCTATTGTTTTCGGAGTGGTAAGATGGCGGACGTCAAGTTCACCGCTAACAGCCAATGGACTGTTCAGATTTGTATGTGGAGATCAGTAGGGACTTTTTTGAGTGCGCACATTTGCATGGGTAAAATGCGAAATAGTCTACCCAATTCCAAACAGCGCCCTCGTGTTGTGGAAGAGCAATCGCCAACTAAACAAAACAATGACAGCAATTGTTAGGATGCAGACCTGTAAAAAGGCCCAGAATTGCCCACAGGGGCCAAATCACCATTTGTTTCCCCCTCAAACGTTTTGCTTTTAGAGCATTTTGTTGGTCATGAACTTGAAGGTTTAAAAAAAAAGAGGAAGCCGTTCACAGGACTGCGAGCTCGAATACTTTTGTAAAATTTGGATGAAATTGGGCCCTAAAATTGCTCTAATTGCAATGAAAGGCAGGCATTTTTCAAAATGGCGGTGGGCCACAGGCTGGACTACTTTTAGGGGAGATCATCTTTTGATGGAATTTTGTACCAAAGGATTGACCAAAAACGATGAAGAAAGATGATGAAATATAAGCATTAATCTTTCTCTCAATCTTTCAGATAGTCAAGTCCGAGGGCGGTATCCTAGCGGTGTCACTGGTCCTTCTCCTCCTGGGTCTACTGCTTCCGATCTCGGGCGTCTTTTTCTGTCTGTGCCGGTGCTGTGGCCACTGTGGGGCCGCGCGGCGCGAGGAGCGGATCCGGGAATTAGTGTGCAACACGGGAGTCGTCATGGGCGCGTTCCTGCTGGTGTTCTCCCTCCTCGTCGTGTAAGTGATGCGACAAATTTCAAACAGCGGTCCTGTTTGTAGCGTAGTTCAAAAGCGCCCTCTGCTGTTGTATTCACACAACCTTTAATAAAGAAGATGGCTGCATGGTTATTAATAAAACACGAGCTCGAATTTGTTATGGTCTGCGTGCTTGTAAAGCCTTGCATACGTCCAATCACCACAATGTTTCACAAAGTTGAGCATGAACACGCACACGGACTTGAGCAATAAAAAAAAGGAACAAGAGAGCTAAGTATTTTGCTGCCTCCAAGAGTTTCAAAGGCGGGTGTTATTTTTAGTCGTTTTGCATTTTTGAGCGAATGGGGGCGCTGTAACGACGTCATTTTGAGGCAGCTGCACAGGGGCGTTATTACTGGAGCCTTACATTTTATCTTATTTAAGAAAATTTGTGTTTTACAATCTTAAAATTTGGACTGAAGTAAAGTTACTACATTGCTGCAATAAACGTGATGATTTCTATGGCATCTCTAGTTCTTCAGCACGTCGTTATTTTAACAATAATGGCCTACGATCACTAATTTGGCCTTGGTACTTGGCCTGCAGCTTAGTGTAAAGATAAGAATGATAATGACTGCAATTATAACCATGTCGCAATGTATCATCATTATTTTGTTCCCCAAACACTCCATTTTCATCGGTCCATCCTCGGTGCATGTGCGTGGTCAGTATGACTATGGCCCCTAGGAAACTAATTACCAAAAAAAGTTTAAAAACTCAAACTGGCAGTTTATGGAGAGTTATCATTCTCATTATGATTACAAATACAATCTTTGGAGACCTTTCATTGTGCTGAATCAAATGTCATGATAACAGTAACATTTGAAATTCCCTTCTTCCAAACTTTCTGATGTCCCCTCTTCGTGAAGAGTGGCCAGTTGTTTCACCATTCTATCCGGCGAGCGACTGTCGCAGAGCGTCATGCATTTCGAGGGCAACGTCAATGCCATCATGGACGACGTCGACAACTTTCAAGACGATCTGATAAGGGTGAGCAAACACAGAACGTTTATTCCACAACAAATTAAAACATGAAACAGATAAAAACAACAAATGAAACAACAGATGAAAAAGATTTACCATCGTGATATAGTAAATCAATACAATATTGTATTAGGTATCTATTTGGTGTTTACAGTGGTCCAAGTGATAAGTCTCACGCATTCGTTATTACTGGTTTCCTTAGAAAAAGCAAAGACTACAGTGAAACGCCGCTATAACGAACATCGTGGGATCCACAGAAAGTGTTCGTAATAACGATCGTTCGGTATAGTGATTTTGAACCGCTGGTACCCTCTTTTGACCAATAGTGAACTGGCATTTCTCACATCCCGCGGCCGCACGAGTAGTCGTCACGAAATTGTTAGCAACGGATGGTTTTCCCTTTTATTCCTTGGGGAAATAATAGCCTATCGCTCTTCAACATTCAAACACGATGTAAACATGGGTCGTTTGATGTTCGGGAATTAAAAGTGGCCCAAACAGTGTTTAATACATGTACAACAGGTAGTTTTTTTGTTAATCTGTTGACTTTTTTTCAACAACGATGTTCGGTACGTTTTGTACATTAAAACCGGGAGCCAAGGATGATGTTCGGAATAGCCGAATGTTCGGTACAGCGGTGTTCGGTATAGCGGCGTTCCACTGTATTAGTAACTATAACACACAGACCTTCAAAAGCCACATTGTTTTTTTAAATTTATGTTTCAGATGTTAATGAATTTCTTTGATTTCTATTAGGACTTAAGGGAGTTGGCAACGTAAGCGACATCATTGACAACACCATGGCAACATTGGAAGGTTAGCCCACTGGACCCTATGTGTATACCTTTTGTTTTTATACTCCTAAAAGAGGCCTTCCTAAACAAATGCAGTATACTTATGCCCATATGTAGAGTTTAGTATATAGCCACGCATACATATATCAAGCAAAAATTATATTTAACAAATTTGTCAACCGAAGACAAAACTACAGTAAATTTAAAACGAGACCTTCCTCGGGCAACAATGCAATATCATATACTAATGCCCAAATGTAGAGTTTAGTGTAGGCCTACAGCCACGGCTACATAATGTAAAGCTAAAACAAGGTTTAACTTAAACAAATTTGTCAACCGAATACAAAACAGTAAATGTAAACAATTAAACAAACAAACTGAACTACGTCATTGTAAATAAAGTGAATACATTTTAAATTTAGTATTGGGTGTAGCCCTTAACCATCTTACTTTTTCTCGTACTTAAGTTACGGCTAACCATTCATTTTTCAGATGCCGAAAACGCAATCTTCGGCCCTGTTGCGTCACAGTTTGGAAGCATCTCAGGCCCACTGAACAGCACTGTTTCGCAGCTCAATAACGGTAAAGGGCGCACTCTGTTGTTTAAATACAAAACAACCCGTTTGTAGTGGCGTAGAACGGGGTCTAGCGACACTCAATGTGCCCCTTTTTACGTTAATCAAAATGACCTTGCTATACGCGCCTGTTTTGTCCAGTCATGGCTCGAAGTCCCCGCCCCGCATGCACGCCACGCGACGAAGTGTTTCAATGTGCCAAGTTTGAAAAAAAAAATCTTGCTAGCGAAAACAGGGACACGGATTTTAAAGGCAACTTAACATTTTGTGCCATTCCATGTCCGGTATACACGTAGGCCTAAATCAAACGTTGGTTAACAAAATTATAAAAAAGTGGGAAAATTAATATTTGTCAACCCAGTTGTAAGTCATTTTGACCAGGGATATCTTCATGTATTAGTTCTTTTTGGATTACTGTCAAAACTCGGTCTCACATTTAAAGTATTTTGTGGTGATGATTAATGCTGTCATGAAAAGTATTTTGATCTGACAAAGTGAACGAGGCCAAAATAGCTCAATCAATATCTTTCAGATTTTTTTTAAAATCTCGATATGAACAGATTTGGCTGCTCCGCTGATATCACTCTCCGCGATCAGTGGAAGTCTGGGAGGTACCATCGCCCAACTCAAGACCGATGGATCGGCGTTTCAGACGGCGGTGAACGACGTGGCCTCCTCGCTCCAGACTTTCCTTACCGTTGACTGCAGCGGGAGCCTGCCAGACACGGTGGCCGGCGTCTGCGCCTTTATTCCTGGTCACAGCCCGTTTGCTGGCTCGCTGTCCTTTTCCGTGGTATTTTCTTTTGTCTATAGAGTGGTAGACTTGTCTTGTTATGGGTAACTTACATGACAACAAATAAACAAACAAACAAACAAACAAAGCGAAACAAAGACCATCACTTATACATCGATACATTTTAAAGAGTTCGATGTAATTACGTACGTGTAGTATATCGTATTTTATGTTGTATACTGAACTACTTTTACAGACCAATACAGTAACATAGTGGCGGAGTAATACGCCAAAAAAAAGAAACATAACCATCAGTTTAAATTATTTTTTAGAGCAATTGATACAGTTAAATTCTGCGACTAAAATGTTTGATTCTGTTTTGTTATTCTTCAGTTGAATGACTACGATGTCTTGCCCGTGGTGGTGTATACGGCCGTTCCAGGCCCAGCTTTGACCGCGATCACCGATCTGATATCAACGGTAAGCATAACACTTTCAAGGCGCATACTCGTATCATTTGCATTTATCCCAAAAGTAATCTACTGAATTATTACCAAAAGCTTACTTTGATTAAAGATATACTGGCACTAAAAACCCGTGACTGTTTTGGGTTTGTTTTTTTAAATAAAGAGTAATAAAGCCAAAATCGTGGTCAAAAAATTATGCATGGTATTTCACTGTTTTCTCGAAAAGTGTAATATCCACTGAGCTGCAACTTCAACAGGTTATGTTTTTAACATTCCTCTTTGAATTTTGAGTGGTGTTATAATTGGAAACGAACTAAATGCATGAAAAGCAAATGATCCTAAATGCCTTTAAAACTCTACCACAACTTTGAACCGTCGACGATGGTTTTAAGCGAACATGCGGGTGTAACAGAAACTTCTTTAACATCTTGATTGTTTCATTTTTCACTTTTACAGGGAGACACTGCGCTAAATGATGCGAAATCGGCTGTGGGCAATGCAAGCCAGGATGTTTTTCAAGGTATGAGGATATAGCACAATTTACATAAATAGTGTGTTTTCAAAATCGGACGGGTTAGCTGACTTCTATTCACACGAATAGATTAAAGCTAAAAGCACCATATGAAATATCATCGTCGGTTTGGTATTTTGGGGACGAAAACGGCACATAATATTCTTCAGTGTTGCGAAGTTGTCGGCGCAGGCTGGTATCTTTGGTGCTGTAGGCCATGGGAGGCACGTAATTTTGGTTAACAGAAATCTGACGGAAATCCGCAAAGTAAATAAAAAAATAAAAAAAATCCTCCAAGACATGAAAGAAAAAGAATGCCCTTCGAGAGCGATCTCAAAGCAGAATATGGCCTATACTTTATAGAGACAGAGACAGCGGCGTATCCAGCGGGGAGGAGGGGGAACGACAACTTGTCACCCTGCCGGCATTTTGTTTTTTTAAGACGGTTCAGACGTCGATACAGTAAATTCTTGGTTTTTGCCCCCCCCCCACCCCGCATTGAATTGTTGGTTTAATACACCGCTGGACAGAGACGAAAAAATTGTCATGCCATTGGCTTGAACTATAAAGGTACTATTCGTGAATAATTTAGGTTTTTTCCATTCCAGACGTTGGCGATACATTGGCCACAATTGAGACGACCGTCACCACGGTAACAGATGAAGTTGTGTCCGGACTGGAAGAGGTTAGTACTTGCCAATCAGGGGGCGTAGCATGCGATGAAACTTGAGAAAAGGTTCGATTATTATCCCAGTGCACCCGTGGGCTTGAAAGATGTTACATCGGGCACAAGAACACTATAGGCTTATACCACTAATAAGTCACGGCACATATTCGTTAATGTCAACAATGAAATACATATTGTAATTTGTCGATTTAGCATTTTAACAAAAGAACACAACAACTCCGAAGTTTTAGAATTTTTCCAAACACTCGATCCTATTTAGCTTCTTTCCCCAGGTTAGTTGGTTTGAATATGTTTTATTTAGAATACTGATTTCAATATTTTTCAATGATAACGCACCGCGGTGTCAACCATTTTGTTTTCACTTGCTTTCATCTGGCATCCACGACTGTAAAATGGTGATTTATTTCCGACTATTCAGAGTCTAGGCGAGTCGCTCGATACGCAAGCGTTTCGTGACCAGATAGGAGGATACGTGGACTTGGTCGAGGATTATGATATGTACAGGTAATGAGCAACAAAGTTAATGCAAAGATATCAACTCGTATCATTGCCAGTTATACTTCCCATAGCTTTCACGTTTTGCAAACTCTAGCAATTGCTAGGGTTTCCAAATTCGTCGGTTACACCTACAGACCATGTGACACTTGTGTACAAATTGGATGTACAACTTTCATCAAACTGTTCTTTTCAGCACTGCATGTATATCTCGACATGAGATATGTGTAAAAGTGGTTAAATAAAGTTTTTAATGGGTAAAATAACATGCAAAAGATGCTTAAATGTTTGGGTTGCCCATCGGTTGACGATCGGTTGACCGTTGGTATGACGTCACAGGGCACACGGTCGATAGTATATAGATACCATCATTATTTTGTCAGTTTTAAGATTCGGAGTCGATTTTCCACAAAGTGAGATATTGTGTGTACATGTACATGACAACAGAAATTAAACATTCTTCTGATGTAACTTTCATTTAGTGCAAAATTTGTCATGTTTAGCATAGCCTACTAATAAAAATTACAAGAAAAAACTAAAATAACAAGTTTTCCATCCCTTTCTCTTTCCCGTATGAATCCAGTTACGTGGCTTTCATGGTGTTTGCATCTTTGGGATTCGTCATGTCTCTCCTCTGCCTGCTGGGACTACTTTTTGGCGCGTGCGGATACGATAGTTCCAGACGGCCCAGCCAGCGGAGTAACACGTCGGAGTGTGGCGGACAGTTCATGGTCGGGTAAGAAGAAGGGCCCAACCTCGTTGCCACGGTCTTATCTTTCTGCGCCATATTGTTTCCCATCATTCCTTGCGCGCACGAAAACCACAGATCCGGCCTTGTAATGACATGGTTGACAATATATTTGGCCCCAAATGTCACATTTAGGCCTTCACCCTCAGTATTTAAGACACGGACATCTTCCATGTAAACTTAAAACCAAGCTGTTTATTCTTCTGGCATGTTAGTGTTAATGTTTATTTCGTAGATCCACTTGGTGGACGTTCGTCTTCGCCATTTTGTTCTGCCTGCCGACGGCTGTTTGGTTTATCATCGGAGCCAACGTGACGCTGATCTGCGACTCCATGGAAGACCTCACCATCATGGACAAGGTCAGGCAGGAAACAGTTGATGAGTCACGGAATGCACTTGAACCCCCCAAAAAATCACCGTATTTTGAAAAGACATAACGAACTCTGTCAAAAGATTTTGTACCATTTAATTATAAACATTGTGATATTTCACACCATTAGCTTATTAATTAACAAAGCCCATCAACATTCGTCAAAAGCTATAGGACCATTTATTCTTCTAATTCTTTTACATAATAAGACATAGAAATGATCCACAAATGGTAAGAAGTTGCACGAAAGGTGTCGGGAAATCTACAAGTTTTGTGTCGATAGCAGTCAAAGTTTGTGCTTGAATAGTCTTGGGAACTGACATAGGCTATAGTTTTGTTAATGAACATTGAACTTTTGTCAACGATAGTGAGCAGGACCGAAAGGTGTAACTTGTGAACAGATACAAGACACATGCGAGCAGATGACATGTTACACAAAATTATAGCATGTTACACGTGTTATACAAAAACGTAAAAAAGGGAAGGGAGGAGCTAAAGGGAAAGTGGGGGGGGGTGAATCCTTCAGAAAACGCGACTGGTTGCGAGTTTTCAAAAACGCGCACGAGCTATCCCGGCCAAAATGGTTGGGTTACTTCCTGAGCCTGCCACGGTCACCCACTCCCCCGCTCCCCCGGTCAATGTTGTTCTCTCCAGCTGATGGAGCACACACCGCGCAATGAGAGACAACATTGAGCGGGGACCGGGGGTTGGGGGCCAGCAAGATATGGCCAGGATTGTAGCTGCAAGTTAGGAATGTTCAGGCCCTAAACATACCTATTTATACTGGATGAGCGGTCCTTAAATCTCCGTTTTTCTCTCATAGTTGGTGGACAACCCCGTGTTGTGGAACGGAAACACGTTGTTGGACTCGCTCGTGCAGTTTGGCGATTCGCCGCTGAATCTCACCGCCCGCCATTTCATAGAGTAAGTTTATACCGCGTCATGATATTTTGCACTTGTTTAGGGCAATTTACAATTATTATCTTTTTTTAAATTCCGGTCCTAATTTGGCAAAAATCCCGTAAAACTAGTGCTCGCTTTTAATTACTTACTTTAATTACATTATAACAAGGCCTGAAGCACGTTGTCCTCCTCACAGTATCAGAAATTTTGTTTGTTGTACCTTTAAAAAAAAAAAGGAGTGTTTCTCTAAAATTATTCAACATTATATTGGGCCTCGATTCTCACGATAATATTGATCGTCATTCCCACATCTAGTTTTTGTAAGTAAAAGTAAACGAATATCTTTCAGGGTATCAACCAAAGTGAACACGTTTGAATGATTTCTTGGTCTGTTGCTTACCAGAGATTGCCAGGAAAACCAGACGTTGTATGAGGCGTTTCATCTCTCATCCGCCGGTCTCTTAGACGCGGTAGACGGCGTGAATATTGATGAGGTTAGTCCCCACTGGATTAAACTCCATGCATATTTTATGAACCAGAGACGCGCTTCTTTAATTGGCCAGTGCTCAAACGCGTCCGCCAATGGAATAAGCTGATTGGTACACGAGTCAAGGAAGCTATTACATTAAACACAAGTCGGGCAGCTGAGTTACACCCTGATCATCCGGCAAATGAAGTCTTATGACGGTATTTTTCATGGTATTTTTAAGACTGCCATACCAAGCATTTGGACAACAGTACCCAAAGAAATTGGTTGTAACGTTCTTTCTTTGTTTCCTCTGTGTTTCCTGCAGTTCATGCCATACGTGGATACCTTCAGGTACAACATGACGTCAACCATCACCGGGTTCGACCTGCTGGCTGGGCCCACCGATCTCACCCTACTCGTCTCGGCTCTTTCTGTGCCTGCCTTCCCTCTGATTTCAATGGTCCACTCCGTTGGTACGGTAAGTAGGAGGCCAATGAGCCTTCAACCACAAGGGTGCCCCCACTTGCCACCCCGTGCTTCCTGCCATCTCCCTCGCAAATATTGCCAAAATTGCAATAAGCCTCTGTACTGATGACGTCACACTTTGTTTACATGTGCACTTTCCTACAGAGCCAGTGGGGGCCCACGGCCCACTGAGCACCATAGGAAAGCACACACGTAAACAAAGCGTGACGTCATCAGTACAGAGGCTTATTGCAGGCTGTATAGAAAATCGTAGGGTTTCCCATTTTGTACAAATAAGGAAAAAAATATGAAATGTTGATGGAGACGTTTTTTTCACTAGTATCATTTTCCAAATCGCTCCGTATCGTAATCTGAAAGTGCCAAACATGCCCTCTATATCAGAAAAATGTTATACCCCCTATCAAACGTATTTTACCCGCACGCAGTTAAGTTTTATGAACTATATATATTTTTAAAAGCCTAATTTTTACTAATTTCTACTACATTTTAGTAATATTGGGGGATTTTTTTTTTCGCTTCGGATCTGAAAACTGGCACCGATAATTTATTCATATTTTTTTTTAAAATGATTTATTAATGTACCTCCAGAAATTGAATCTAACGGTAGGCGGCAGCTTTAAAATGGAACATTCCGGATTCTATTCAAAGAATCGCCATGATTTTAAACAGTGCGAGATGTAACAATAGTCATTTTTAAAGTTCCGTTGACATTTGAAAAAAATGCAAAATGGGTGCAGGGGGTTGATGCTTCGCAGACGAAATGTAGCTGCTCTCTGATGATCTTACTCCAACCACACTCCAATCTGCGAAGCTATCAACATTTACATTACAATACTACGCTATTTACATATAATTTACATATCTACATAAATTACCTAATAATTAACCCTACACCCAACTAACCTAACTAACTAGGCCTACACTACTGGATTCGAACCCGCGCTGGTGACCTGATGGGCTGGCCACTGTCCTGGACTTATACTACTATAGAAAATTGGGCCTGATAAATATGACATGGCCCTCATTTTGAAATTTGGCTGAAACACGGCAAAAATTGTAATTCAACGTGCCCATATTGCTGTGCGAAAACAGTCTGACTACTCAAAATACACAATTTCTGAATTAAAAACGAGAAAGAGTTTTTTTTCGTTGCGCAATAGTCAAAAATGTTAGCGATGAATAGTCAAAATGTTAACAATGATCGCAAAAATCGGCTGCGGACGAATGGCAAGTACGAATTTGATTTGACGTAATCCGAATGATGTTTTGATTTTTAAGGATCCAGATTATTACAGTCGAATGAAATTTGGCGTCATTGAAAATTAGCATTAAGTTTAAATTTGTGAACGAGGATGCACTCCACACAATCACGAGAAATCCCGTCGACCGTGGAACGTGATTTCAGAATATAACTGTTGCGACCGTTTTCGTCAAAATCTGCCACATTGAAAATTGTCGTCTTATATTTCAGGCATTGGCTATTTGATAAAATCCAAGATTTGTGTGAAATTTTTAGTCCTAATTAAACCTCGCACCAAAATGTTAACAACAAAATACTCAAAATGTTCACAGTGAATTCAAAAATGGGCTACGGACGAATCGCATGTACGAATTCGATTTGGCGTAATCCGAATGATGTTTAGATTTTTAAGGATCGAGATTATTGCAGTCGATTGAAATTTGGCGTCGTTGAAAATGAGCATTAAGTTTAAATTTGTGAACGACGATGCACTCTCACACAATCACGAGAAATCCCGTCGACCGTGGAACGTGATTTCAGAATATAACTGTTGCGACCGCTTTCGTCAAAATCTGCCACATTGAAAATTGTCGTCTTATATTTCAGGCATTGGCTATTTGATAAAATCCAAGATTTGTGTGCAATTTTTAGTCCTAATTAAACCTCGCACCAAAATGTTAACAACAAAATACTCAAAATGTTCACAGTGAATGCAAAAATGGGCTACGGACGAATCGCATGTACGAATTCGATTTGGCGTAATCCGAATGATGTTTTGATTTTTAAGGATCGAGATTATTGCAGTCGATTGAAATTTGGCGTCATTGAAAATGAGCATTAAGTTTAAATTTGTGAACAAGGATGCACTCTCACACAATCACGAGAAATCCCGTCGACCGTGGAACGTGATTTCAGAATATAACTGTTGCGACCGTTTTCGTCAAAATCTGCCACATTGAAAATTGTCGTCTTATATTTCAGGCATTGGCTATTTGATAAAATCCAAGATTTGTGTGAAATTTTCAGTCCTAATTAAACCTCGCGCCAAAATGTTAACAACAAAATACTCAAAATGTTCACAGTGAATGCAAGAATGGGCTACGGACGAATCGCATGTACGAATTTGATTTGACGTAATCCGAATGATGTTTTGATTTTTAAGGATCCAGATTATTACAGTCGAATGAAATTTGGCGTCATTGAAAATGAGCATTAAGTTTAAATTTGTGAACAAGGATGCACTCTCACACAATCACGAGAAATCCCGTCGACCGTGGAACGTGATTTCAGAATATAACTGTTGCGACCGTTTTCGTCAAAATCTGCCACATTGAAAATTGTCGTCTTATATTTCAGGCATTGGCTATTTGATAAAATCCAAGATTTGTGTGAAATTTTCAGTCCTAATTAAACCTCGCGCCAAAATGTTAACAACAAAATACTCAAAATGTTCACAGTGAATGCAAAAATGGGCTACGGACGAATCGCATGTACGAATTCGATTTGGCGTAATCCGAATGATGTTTAGATTTTTAGGGATCCAGATTATTGCAGTCGATTGAAATTTGGCGTCATTGAAAATGAGCAGTAAGTTGACATTTTGTGAACAAGGATGCACTCTCATACAATCACGAGAAATCCCGTCAATGGGAACGTGATTTTATAATATATTGAAGTTGCGAACGTTTTCGTTATAGTTTGCTACATTAAAAATTGTCGTCTTACGTTTCAGGCATTGGATATCTAATAAAATCCAAGGCTTGTGTGAAATTTTCAGTTAGTAACAAAACCTCGCGCCAACACGAAATCTCGGAAAGTGGCGCGCTACGCGTAATTTCAAATTGAGGGGCATGCGCATGCGTGCCATTAAATATAGGCCCGAAATTGCCTACGCCGGCTAAATAATATTTTTTGATATGTAGCCGAGCATTTTGTCGGCCATGAACTTGAGGATTTGTAATTCAGGGTGCAATCCGTGAACGGGACTGCCTAATCGTATTTCTGTGAAATTTGGATGGAATTTGGCCTTAAATTCCTGTAGTGTGCAATGTAGCGTACGTATAGGCATCATTTTACAACATTGCAATGGCCTCAAGGACCGCTTTTATAGGGTTTATATCTTCGCATGGATTTTCCCCAAATGTCATAGGTACCCCCCATAAACAAACAGAAAATAAAGAACATTGCATGTCTTCATGCAGCAGTAAATTAGTTGCCATGAACCAATGATAAAATCCCCAGCCCCCCCCCCCCCGGTAAAAAATGGTGCTCCATTCTTTCGGCTATTTTCAGGGGGGGGGGGGTCTTACTTGCAGAAAACGGGGACGGGGTGAAATAAAGGGAGTTGGGGATTGAATCCATAGTTGGGAGGGGGTGGGTTTGAGTCCAAAGTTGGGGTGGGGTTCCCATGGGCATCACCTGCCCCCCCCCCCCCCGCCCCCCCCCCCCCCCCCGCCCTCCCCCACCCAACACTTTACGACGATTTCTCCTGCATTTTAATTGGAAAACTTAATTTAGGAATTATGGTATCCATTCTATTATTTTGGCCAAATTGACATCTTTCGAAACATTAGTCAGCAAGGGGGGGGGGGGGTTGTCCCGCTACTGATCTTGTTTATTTTTTATAGGCTGCAGACTGGTTTTTCACTTTCAAAGAATCATTTTCCCAATCGCTCCGTATCGTAATCTAAAAGTGCCAAACATATTTATCAGCAGAATGTTAGGTCCCGTATTAAACGCTATTTACATATAATTTACATATCTACATAAATTACCCACGCGCAGTGACGTTTTGTCAATTAAATTCAAATTTTAAAGCCAATTACCGCTAACCGAATTCATTTCAGTAATATTGGAAGTAAACTGGCACCGATAATTTATTCATATTTTTTTTGTTTTTAATGATTTATTAATATACCTCCAGAAATTTAATCTAACGTTAGGCGGCCAGCTTTAAAGTGGAAAACTCTGAATTATTTTCAAAGAATCGCCATGATATTAAACAGTAGAGATGTAAAAGGCGCAATAGTCATTTTTAAAGTTGTTTGATATTTGAAAAAAGTGCAAAATGGGTGCAGGGGGTTGATGCTTCGCAGACGAAATGTAGCTGCTCTCTGACGATCTTACTCCAACCACACTCCAATCTGCGAAGCTATCAACATTTACATTACAATACTACGCTATTTACATATAATTTACATATCTACATAAATTACCTAATAATTAACCCTACACCCAACTAACCTAACTAACTAGGCCTACACTACTGGATTCGAACCCGCGCTGGTGACCTGATGGGCTGGCCACTGTCCTGGACTTATACTACTATAGAAAATTGGGCCTGATAAATATGACATGGCCCTCATTTTGAAATTTGGCTGAAACACGGCCAAATTGTAATTCAACGTGCCCATATTGCTGTGCGAAAACAGTCTGACTACTCAAAATACACAATTTCTGAATTAAAAACGAGAAAGAGTTTTTTTTCGTTGCGCAATAGTCAAAAATGTTAGCGATGAATAGTCAAAATGTTAACAATGATCGCAAAAATCGGCTGCGGACGAATGGCAAGTACGAATTTGATTTGGCGTAATCCGAATGATGTTTAGATTTTAAAGGATCCAGATTATTGCAGTCGATTGAAATTTGGCGTCGTTGAAAATGAGCATTAAGTTTAAATTTGTGAACGAGGATGCACTCTCACACAATCACGAGAAATCCCGTCGACCGTGGAACGTGATTTCAGAATATAA